GTATAAGTGGAAGACTTTTAATTCTCAAATTGTTTCACTTCAATAACTCTTTTAAAGTTGTTGCGCCAAGATGCCTGGTGGATTAAGCTCCATTGCCTTTTCTTGTTTTGAACTAATGTATTCTTGATCACCGTTTAATGAAACTATATACCACATGGAGATTTCACATTAGATAAGCCATGTGAAACCCTCATCAGACAAGTAGCTCTGGCTGGTGGTAATCCTTCAGATGAAAATTTCAGACTAGAAGGTTTTCCAATTTAAATGAGCCCCTTTAACTATAAAAAATTGGCACGGTATGATTGCTAAAAATTATTTTTAAATTTTTATGTTGCCAAAGTGCCCCGGTGGCTGTGAAAAACAGAAATACTGCCGTAAATACAGAAAACATTAACTGGTCACTGAGGGGATCCAATTTACAACCCATAGAGACAACTCACATGGCTCACTGACACTGGCATTATTGGGTTTGCAATAGGGCATTCAGTTCTGTTCACACCACACGAAAGCAAAGCTATTCTTAAATATGCAATTAAATAGATTTATTCCACAACTTTCTCTAGTCAGTGGTTATTACTCACTTTTACTTCATTGCACCCTGATCTATAGAATTTTCATGATGTGTTCAGGTAGCCTTTAGAAAGCAACAGAACTTGTTATGAATTTTCAATAAAAAGTTCTTTTTATGAGATTAACAAGTGTGGGGGTTTTTGTGCCTTTTTTTTTTTTTTTTACATTTGCATTTGGAATTCATTTTATGCTAAAAGGTGTATGAGTCCCACAGATTTGTTTTTTCATCCTAACCAAGATATACTCTACCTATTAATATTTTCTATAGTTAGCATTACAACTAATAGAGATGGAACACATTTTCAGCATGAGAAGTTTTACATCAAACAAGAAGAAAAAAAGAAAATGTTTAGGTAATTTTTAATTATGCTTAGCATTCTGACTCATATTCTTAAAACCATAACGACAACTATGCAGGCTTCTTTCAAGTTGTTTAAAGGATTATTTTATATTTTTTATATATGGTTCCTAGAGGCTCTGAAAAGCCCTGTTTGCTCCACACTTCAGGGTGAGTCTTACAAAAGGATGTGAAAATTTCACAGAGCATGAAGCAAGGATTTGGTAGAGGTAAATGACATCCATAATAAGATGAAGTTCTTCTCAATGGCTTAAATTTTCATCACCCCACAAGGAAGGTTCCTTCTGATCACGTTACACTTGTATACATTCTCTGTGCATGCTGGGAAAGCAAAAGAGATATCAAGAACATGAAAAAGCAGAGAATGAAATAAAGGCCAACTGAGCATATACCACAGAGCTCCCCTAGTAAATGTAATATTTAACACTGTCAAAATATTGGATGTGAGAAATATCATAATCCCTTGCCATTTTATTAATGGGATAGATTGTTGTAACTCACACACCCCAGTGTGGTAGCAGAAGGATATACTCCGGCTTCAGTGACCACTTTGCTCTGTATGTTTTAAATGCAATGCAGACACACAGATACTCCTAGATTTATAATAGTCAAACCTTTGCAAAGCTATCATTTACTTGTAGTCTGCACTACTATATAACTCTGTCCATACCAGATAATAGGAATTGGTAGTTTTAATAATAAAATGGCCTGAAAGGGCATACATGACATTATTACAAACCCCACAATGAATCCAAGCAACAGCAAGAGCAGAAATATTAATAATTCATAATGTCATGATTTTTAAAGATAATATTCTCATGTTTAACCCCACATTGATACTCATTTTAAAAGCTTAATCTAGAATGAAACAGACAAAAAGAAAGGAAAAAAAAAACCACCTGAAAATACAAAGTAATGCAGTGACAGAGAGCATTGTACATATGTCCAAGAAACACAATTTAAATTATGAGGATGTAGTAAAGATGGTAGCCACTTTGTGCAATTGACTTCCTCAAGGAATTCAGTATTACTTAAACATTTCAGGTGTGCACAAACATCCAGCACAACTGGCACACACTGGCTTTGGAAGGAGCTAAAGTTACTCTACTTACACTTTATTCTTAAACTCCAAACCAGGATTAGAAAATTCATTATTTTAACTTAGGAGCTACAATAAGAAACAAGAAGTTGGCAAGGAAGCCTCACAGCCTGGTTCCATCATGTTAAGTAGCAAATCTTACCTTCTTAATACTGCATTACACTTATACCTCATGAAGGGCGTACATCAAATTTCACACAACAAAGAGAATTTTATATTTGCCATAAATTACTGCATTCTTGTTAATATTAAAGACTATCTCATGACCTCCTTGCATTGACACATTCTGTCGGCACAAACTAATCACCTGAATGTCCTTAGAAATAGCTAAGCAAAGAGAGAAAGACTAATCATGTACCAAAAGAGTACATGCTAATCCTCATTCATGGACATGAGGCATAATTCTCATATATAAATGTTCAGTAGAAAGAGAATATTCAGAAGACCAATATCTTTCCCTCAAACCAGATGGAGGCTTGACTACCACAGCAGTAGTTCTAAGGCACCAGTAAAAGTAAAACACAAAAAAGAACACTACCTAAGTCTAAAAACTTCAATGCTTTCTTTCACTGCATTGGAGACATGGCATGACATGTGGATTTCTCATAAACAGTATTTTATCATCACAGATATCTAGATTGCAGGACAAAAAAACCAGTCCAACATTTTTGAACTGATAGGAGTTTGCATACTTAATGTTGTGTATTGTTTTTCAGTTAATTCAACTGAAAATTAAAAATGTAATTTTTGACCATATAAGTACAAATACTTACTTCATCTTAAGAAAATAAAGTAACACATACACTTAAGACATTCTAAAACAAATACCACATAATGCCTATTACGATAGTTTGAAATTTGTTTCATTATGAGGGAAAAGAACACATAAGAAAAAACATGAAAAGAATTCTAGGACTGTATCTTAAGGAAATGTCCCATGTCTGAAACTTTGCACTTAATTCTTCAGCTTCCAAGCCTACACACATCATGCAATTGCAATTTCAGGCATCAATTACCATTTTTCAATATGCGTGTTTCTAGACTTGTACTAGATTTTAGATTACATTAAAACAATTTCTGGGAAACTTTGAATTCCCACACCTATCATAGAAAATGTAGAAAAGAGTTTCTTTGAAATTAGCACCCTTAGCAAAAACCAAAGTATTATTAAAATATTATGAGTGAAAACATTATAATCCAGATTGGTTTGAAATCTTAGGAAAAGATTTTGTGTTTGTAGAAAGAATAACTAATAATAGTTTTAATTAAAAAAAAATTTAGACCATTCCAATAGTTCTCATTCATGCTGTTGAAAATACAGCAAGGGTTAATTTGCTTTTAATTATTATGTATATGACTTGTTTTGAATGAAGAAACATAAAACTATCCCTTAAAATTTCTATTAACCTTCTACTTTTATGTCCCCTTGAGTTTCACTCAGAGTGTTATTACTGTCATGGCACCCAACCTCTAGCTATGCATATTCCTCAGAAGGCAAGGTATGTGACTTCCCTGTGAGTCAATAAAATCAGTGGGATGGTTATTTGGGTAATTCTACCTGCACTTCCCACAGGACAGCATATAAGTTGATATACTAAGACTACCCAGCAGCATGGAGTAAGATTCAAAAGTCTATCCTGTAACATGGAAGTCCCACAGACCACTGTAACACACTGTTGGAAGCCACTGAGTCAACTAATTAAAGACAATTTTATAGCCAGACTATTTGTTATCCTTACCATACACTAACATGGAATAGCCTAAAGGGAGAAATGGCTCTCTAGCTTTTAAAAAAAATCCTCTATTGTCATATATCTTTAAATGCAATTCTTGTGTTTACGTGGACATGCTGTAATAAAGCTCTTCGGTAAAATTAATATTGATTAACAGTATTTTTTGAAAGTAGGAGATGGAAACTGTTCTGAAGTATTAGTGCAGCAAGACTGAAAAGAATGACTAGAAGAAAATATAATCTAAAAGATTAATAGTAAATTATAAAAGAGACCTAGTGGATTTTACCTAATACTGTGATGATAAACAGCCCCATGGATCTAAATCTATTTTCCCCTATTTCTTAATTCAGCTTTCAGCAGTATATTATCATATTTCTATAACAATCCCTTCTGAAATATGCCATTTTGTAGATTATTTCTGAATACCTGATGAAACAACATATCATGACTAGCTGTCAGAACCAGACATGGATTTTCTGATATATCCTTCCCCTGATGGAAAATGCTTTTCTATGAAAGAGAAAGTACTCATAGAAACATGCTGGTTTGTTTCAAAATGAAAAAGATTTAAGTTAAGGTAAAAACATTCTGATCAAACATTTGCAGACTAAAGGTGTTTTTTTTAATAATAACTGATATAAAGCTTATTTTAATATCTGTAAAATTTAAACTAAATATTTTTAAGCAGATTCCTCCTCTTTAAAACTTTCTGAATTGTGATGAGACACTATTGTTGCTCCATTAAAGAATTTCCTTATGTCCTTTTTTATAGAGAAGAAATTCTCATTCAGTTTTAGAAGAAACATTGCTGAACTTGGTGCAATTTAAAGGTACAATGCTAAAGAAATATCAATCTATTTCCATCTTGTTTTCCAGTATCATGCAGCAGACAAATAAATTCATAAAAAATCTGGAAAAACTATTGGGAGATATGAGTTTCTTTAGGAGAAGACTAATGTTAATTAATAGAGTTAGGAAGTTATGATATTGTTACTATTTCAAAGCAAAAAAAAAAGTCAAAGTATTAGATATTTGTTAAAGCTTTGTTTAATATATATATTTTGCTTAATATTTAATATTTAAGCTTTGCTTAATATTAAGTACAAGTCTGTATATGCAGAAGACTCAAAGATTTATACATCTGCACTTCACAAATATATTATTATGTGTCCAATAGCAAATACTAACAAGGACAAATTTGAATATTTCAAGAGAGTTTTGGTCATCTAAAATGTCTTACCCAATCTTCAAAAACCACAGTAATCACTTTTACAGTTACTTTAATTGAAAGTACAATAATCACATTAGCAGCAGAAAATAAGCACAAGCAGTCTTGTTTCAAGGTTAGGAAAACAAGGCACAACATAATCATTCTGAACGTGATCCAACACTCATTACAAATTGTTATGTCAAAGAATTCTTATCTGTGTGTTTAATACAGCACATATCGGCACTGAACCAAACGGCAATATGATAGTTTGGGGACTGTACTGTCTCTGTAGAACATGAGGTAATGAGATGCTGTGAAAGTAGTTACAAATAGCGCAGTGATAAAACAGGCCTAGAAGGTGTCCCTTCTTCATTATACACGCAAATTTCAACCCATTCAGTAGCATGCCTGTTAGTAAATCAAAAGTCACACCTCGTATTTAGCTGTGACATTTGTTACGTTTATGTGTCACAGTGTTATCACTTGGCAGTCCTCTTTCCTGTGCACAGTCTCTGGAAGGTCTGCAAATCAGTAACTCAGCTTTCCAGCCCAATCACACATGATATGTGTTCCTGCAAGAACCAGACACAAAGATGCTTCAGGTTCACATTCTTTTGAGTCCTGATCATGAATAGAGGATTTCTATCCCTCAGTGCACTGCAAGAGTCACCCCACAAAATTTCTTTCTCTGTCTGTATCTGTGCTGAAATCTCTAGTCTCTTATGAAGATTCTTCAACTCCATTTCCCTTCATGATGTCAACAAGAAGGGTCCCTAGATTTCTCACCAAATTTCTCACCTACTTTAGGGTCAGATTGTCTCTTGACAAGAGATTGTTTAATCTCCTTTATGGATTAACAGTCCCGTCCAGTCTCCAAGAGAGAGGGATTTCTTGGTTGAATAAAGATGTCGCTCTCTATCCCCTTCCTGACAAGCTAATTCCAGCCTTCTTCTCTGGGCAAAAAGTTTTTCCTTTCTCTTGTTCTTGCTTACTAGCTTTTACTCACCCTCACAAATCCTGCACTTTTATTGCAGGACATTTTATTGGACCTTTTCATAGACCTCAGACTGGGATTTTCCATCTCACTGGTCTTTCCATTTATTACTGCATCATTCTCTTCCGCATAAGGTGTAATGGCTCATACCTGTCCATCTTAAAAATGAGGTAATGAGGATGACTTGTAATTCTGACCTCCAAACTGCACTGCTATCTGTGCACCTCTAACTTTTTGTACTGACATATACATCTGCATTTCTCCTTAAGTGGAGGGAACTATGAACTAGCTTCCCCTTTTCAGAGTTGAGTTTGTTTTCCTGTTTAAATCTGGTCCTGAATTAACCAAAACACCTAACAGCACTTCTCGCAAACTAAAAGATACAACTTATGTTGAGTTGCTTGAGGTTTTGTTTTCACCTTAGCTATGAATACATATGGCATTACCATATATATCACAGCCTATATAGGAAAAATCCACTTTTAGATTTTCCAGTTCAAGATACTTGGAACAAGTTATTTTAATTTTTTCAACTATCAAGACAGGCAGTTTTCACTCAGCATAATATCTCACTAGAATTTCTAGAAACCCTAGATAAGAACCTCTTGAACTGCTTTCTTTAAACTCACTCCAGAAGTTGGGGCATTGCTTTTTTTAATTTTTTCTACCCTTGGGCAGAAATTCTCCATATGTTTTTTCTTACTGCTTTAACCTTTTCTCATATTCTGCTACTTATCTTGGAGATTATTAAATGCCATCTGAACATTTTGTTGCTTAAACATCACACCACTTAAAACTTTTATTAGAAAGAAAAAAAGTCAATGAAGTAATCAGTGCTATACTGTTTTTTAGTATTTACTTACAGGTTTCATTTTGAATTTTATAATACATAAAATAGTGTCTTCTCACAACTAATGATACCCTTAAAAACAAAAAGCAGCTATATGATAGAGCTTATCATGAATGTTTAGGCCACCTAGACATTATGCCTGTCAATCCATATCCAATGAGTCTATTGAGATACATAACTCTCACAGTTTTAAAAAACTGCTTTCATTTTTAGAGAATGGACTGGTTTAGCACATGTGAAATACTTCCTTGAATAACGATATTCTAAGACACAGAATGACCCCCTGGGCAGTGCTATATTGAGTAACTACTGCTTTATTATTTATTGAGAGTGGAAGTGGGAACTTCACACTATTTGTGTAATATTTTGTTTCTTTCTGTCCATACCTAGTATGGTTGCTTCAACCTCTAAAGACTAAATATGTAAAGTTAAGAACTTTTCGGAGGTTTTCACTTTGTACTGACATTCTGTTCTCTCAGGGTTTATATTTCTGTTACTTGTAGACAGAATAATATTAAAACAAAACAAACAAAAAAACCCCTTTTCTAACTGATTTTCTGCAAGATAACCTAAAGTAAAGCCTTGAAGGTAATGTAACAGTTAGCTGCTTGATAAAGACCCTATCACAATGTGCACACAAAAAAGAAAGCTCAAGAGACAAGTTTAAGCCTACTTTTTCTAATTTTAAGGTTTGGTTAAGTAAAATAAATGTTATTTTAACATTAAAATAAATTACTTTTTCTAAATTTTAAAACAAACCAAACGGCCTAAGAAAGGGAAAAATCTGTCACATAACAATAAAGCTGACCACTCAGGAGCCATTTACACTGTCAAGATAGCAACAGCTGGGACCAGTAATAAGCTGTTATCCTTCTTAGTGATTAGCTGATACTTGCTAGAACACATGTATTTAGGAATTTCATGTTTGATTCCAAATTCTGGAGGTCACAAGTCTCTTCTGAGACCCTCTTCAGAACAACAAATCTCTTTGCAGAAAATTAAAGCATCTAAGGCCTTCTCTGAATCTAAAGAGGGGCTTAGTGAACCATCAGAAGTAATGTAGACTTCCTTTTCACTGAAACACTCTTCCAGCCTTCATAATCTTCAGTACATCCCACATCTTACTTCCTGCCCTTATTTCCTTTCCTGATGGAGGAGTAGACACACCATACAGCAACTGATGCATATAAGGGGTGGGGGCTCAATATAAGTAAAGATGCTCCTCACACACACCTTGAATTCTCAGAATTTGCTCATCCTACATCTGATTTAATTAGCACCAAATGCCACTGAGATAAAAAGAACTGAATAAACGTATTTCAGGTTCATTCTTAACTATAGATATAAAGACATGACTTTGTCTTCCAAGAGTGTAAAAACAATTTTTCGAAAGTCATTAGTATTAGACGATTTCTAGATGGGATACCTGTGGTATGCCATTTTCCCTTGGTTAGAATGTTAGGCTAAATTTTGCAGTAGCATTCAGTTTGTTAGTAAATTTTATTGTTGAAAAGTATTCATCTCCAACTACTGTTATTTTGAAACCATCATGACAGTGTTTCTATTCCACCCTAGTAACTATTACTTAGTGTTTTTATTGCATTAATGGTAAGACATAATAAGTCAAGGAGCTGTTATTCAGAGAAAGATGCTATGAAATACCCATCAAACTACATCAAACAAAGACTGAAAGCAGAAGTAGGGACTCATTTACTTCAAGTTTCTCCACCAGTTCAGGCTGCCAAAATAAAAGAAATAAAAGCCAAGACTAAATGTTAAAACAGGTAATCTCTTATTCCCAGTTGTTCTACCAAGTCAGGCAGGTACCAGGACTTTTATAAAAAGAAGAGAGATCAGTGCAAATAAATAAGAATATTTTATATTGAACTATATGCATAACACAAAATTTAAAAGGGAATGGCTAGTAGAGCAGACTTTGTTGAAATAGATTGATGAAATGCCATGTGATATATCCTATAATTAAAAACATTAGTAGAAGAAAAGAAGAATAATAGACTAGCCAAAAAGAAATTTTTTTCTGAATACTGTCATCATTAATCCTCACTAATGAATAGCAGTAAGCAATGAAAAAAGACTAGCAACACTAAACTTTTCCTCTCCTTTCCCCCTAACTCACAGTCTGCTTTGACAATCAGAAGGCATAAGCATGCTGCCTGTTTTCAGCATGTCACACAACGGAGAAATTTCTGTGTGCTGTGCCTTCTGTATTCAGAGAATGACAAAAAGTAGCACAAGCCACTGGGATGCATAATGTGAAAGTCAGAGGGAGGTGTGGGGACTTTTTCTGACTGTAGAGTTCTTTCCATTAGATGGGATCTCTAAAAGCAGGTCTTAAAAAACGTTCAAGTTTTCTTTACTTTGCTTTACTAGTTTAGGTCTAGAAGTTGCAGAATTCACAAGAAAACTCCTCTCCGAAGAGACAGACTTCTTGACTACAGAGAAACAACAAATTGCTGCAATGAACTTTCAATGCCACTTTATGTTGGCATTATCCCTTTCGTCTCTGAGCTTGAACGTAACGTCATTGATATGAAACCACTTACTACTGGCTAAAGAGCTATGAAAAATGAGAAGGAGATTTTTCAGTAAAGGAAAGATGCCCTCAGTTCCTGAAGTTCACTAAGTTCCACTGCACATTAGGTCCCTCTGGATCATTCTGTTTGAATCAAGTGTTTGGAAAAAACATATCCAGTCCCACATATTGAGCTAAAAAATTTACCAAGATTTTTTTTTTCCCCCATGTCAAGAATTTTACTGAATAATCTCTCAACGTCGACAGTACAGAAGTGAAGGAGATCACAGAGAGTTGTAGTATAATGATGTAAGAATAATTTTTTCACTATTTAGTTATCCTGTACAATTCAACAATTTGAACTGCTTTCTTTTGACATTGCACAGCAGGTTCGCCTTTATCCTTGAAGAGTAAGCCTGCTGTGCAATCAGCATATACAGCCCTCCAAGGCTTGCATGGCCTAGAAGACAGTCTGCATTATCAGTTGAATAGAGCCCTCTGAGACTATTTTCAGGAATCATCAGTCACAGTAAGTTTAGGCCCACATTTCTTAAACCAGAGAAGACACAAAACGCGTGGAATCCCCCAGTAATTAAGGATGCAACTGACCATGAGTATTATCAGATTTCTGAAAGTAATTTTGATAGCCAAAATTCAATTTGGTAGACAGACAATTTACCATTAATAACTTCTACAGGTGTGTTTAAACTACTAAGCAACGATAAGACAAAAATACTGTCAAATTATTGATGATAAGTGCATATTTCCTAGAAATAATGTCATAAAATAACAAAAATATTTTTAGTAATAAAGTAGAATTACTAATTTACTTTTATTAAAGTAATTAATTATCCCTTAAAATTTGGATATTAGGTAGGTCTAACTGCAAATCAGCAAAACATTTTTCTGTATTTTCTATTTGTATTTGCTTCATGTTCCAGAACTCATTTAATTATCCAAATTCATTTTTTAGGTTTTCCATAGTGTGATAGTTTTTAACAATTTAACTAGGAATTAAAAAAGCATGTGAATTAGTCAAGACTAGATTTCCAAATGCTGCATTTTAAGCACATGATTATGGGCAATAATTGATGACAATGTATATCCAAAGAAAGGAAACTTCTTTCAGAAGAGGCAGTTAAACAATTAGCACAAATGGTAGAATTGCATTTCTGTAAGACAACAGTTTCACAAATCCAGTTACAGTTCTCCAACTTGTTGCACAATTCTTATATACGCACAAATTTTATTATGGCACTTTTATTTTTGCAATTGTCTATGTTTCATGTGGGTATATGTATATTTGTAGGCCATCATCTTCATAAAATACATCTCTTTTATTTTTGTCCCTACATATAAAATTTTTGCAAATAAACACTGGCTGGCACAGCAAAATCATTATTAATGACAACAAAAACTAAAAACTTTTGCATATCATCCAAGGTTGGAAATACTTATTTCAGTGTATGCAAAGTCAGTGCCTTAACTGGTAGCTTTTATTGCTAGACCATCCAACTACTTACAGAATGTAATACTGTTTTAGGCAGATACCTAAAACATTTTACTTTAAGGAAAAATCCGTATTTTTATTTGTTGTTCCCAGAGCAGGTTTTCATTTTGTTGCCTAACTAGAGAGTAGTCCTCTTTTAGATGTCAAGTTTTCCATAACATAATTGTCCTGTACTACAGACAGAGGAGGATTAAAGCACAGAGAATGACTCCCGAACTCCTTCCTGCTTTCTTCAGCTGCAAGAACACAACTTGAAAAGATGCTGACATTAAGCTGCTGAAAACCTTTAAATTAAAAAGTGTTTTCACTCTCTACAGAAGAGAGGTTAAATTGCTGTCTTTTTCATAATAAATGTGACTGATGGCCACAGAACCCAAAAAATGTGAAAATTCATGACACAAGGAAATTCTACTTTCAAAAGCAAGAGTATCTGGTAAACAAAGCTGCAGCTTCCCTACAATAAACAAGATAAACATAAAGCATTGTAGCAGTTCAACAGTAATAAACAGGTGGGAGTCTTCTATTTGGGTGATACTTGTAAAGTGGTCTTGCTGCATTAGATTTTGTAACCCAGACTAATGGGCTGTAAGCCACTATGTAAATGGGTTAAATTAAGAGGGAGGAAAATACATTTTGATTATCCTTATATATACACATATATACATATATCATTTAAGTGCACACATGTATAAATACGATATAAATTTCAAGACCTCACAGTTCACTAGACAAAGAATGCATCACAGTATTTTAAGATCAGTATTTTAGAATTTTCTTCTTTAGATACTCACCCATTTTTCTGGAGCAGTAGCCTTATGTATAGCCTAAGGATCTTTTTCCTTATGAAAGGACTGCTTCTGAGAGGTATACCTAAAAGGTAGCTATAAAAAACCAATCAATCAAAGCTTTTGTAACAGATGTTAGCATGGAAGGTGTGCAAAGTATTGGAAGAATGTGAGATTTTTAAGACCTGCGAACTTTGTAAAAGTGTAATAGGTATCTGTATAGAATCAGATGAAAATGTCCCATTTCTTGGAAGAACATAAAATCACTAGAAAGAAAATGAATATATGATAATTTAATGCAAATTCCAGTCTAACTGAACTGCCCATAGAGAGTGTCAAATCTTTGAGGAAAAGTTTTAGGTTCAGAACCAGGAATGCTTGGTGAAATGTGATAGCCCATGATAAACAGGATGCCTGTATGATCTGTCCTGGCCTAAACTTTGCAAATAATGAAATCTGAGATGATTAATATATCAGGGCCAGATATAAATACGCACACAAAGAAGCCATGACATGTTTTATGTGAAAGAGTTAGGTTCACATTTGAGCTGTGTTAGAACAAAACTGCCAATGAAGAACAATTATGCCTCTTTGACTTCCTGCACCTTTTTCAGGACTTTTTAACCAAAGCAGACAAAACCTGAAAATGCTGGCTTTTAAGCACATGGAATACTGGCCATTGAGTCAGTGCAATCTGGAACTAATTATAGAAGACGGAGAATTTGCCATCAGCTTTTAGAATAAACAAACAAGAATGGTGAGATACCCTACAGTACGTGATCCAAATATCAATTGACTGAATATCTGCACCTTATGGCTTGCTGTAGTGGATAACAGTCCAGTATCCTGCCTAAGCTGAATGAGTCCCTTGACACTTGGTCATTCAGCTGTTCAATACATGAACAACAATCTCTTCCTAGTTGCTGAACAGAAGTATTGTTGTATTATGAGGTAGAATTAATATGCTGTTATCTCAGTATCAAGCTTTTGACATTTAAATGTCAGCTGACCAAACTAAGTCACTTCAAATTCAGTGGTATGATAAAGAAGCCTTCACACTGTGATTCACCTTGCCTTCAAATAGATGTACTATGAAGCATTGAGTGAATTGCTTGATCAGTTGAAATTTGGAGACTGTATATTACTTCTGTATGAAGAATGCTACAGAACGGAATCCATTTCTTCTGTAACATCATTTAAGCTACACGTTGGACAAGCTTTAAACAGGCCAATATCTTAATCATGGAGAGCCTTAATATATCTGAATAGAACTTTAAATAACTTTTTCTTAAAAACCATAGAACATGATTAGCAGAATAATATAGTATAATCCTGCACAACTAGAAATATTACTTATTGTTAAAAAAAGAACAGACCCTTTTATAAAGCCTGCCTTTTACAAAGCTTCAATTTCTACCATAAAAGAAGTGTATCAGTCTCTAAGACTGAAATATGTAAGGTATCCAAGTAGTGTAACGAGTTCAGAACCCTACAAATAGGGTTTGTACATTGATTTACTCCACTTAACCAGGGCAGTCCTCTACTATAACTGCTTCAGAACACCAACTCAAATATTGCTCAAGCAAACAACAGATACAGTTATTTACAATTACTAGGAAAGGTAGCATTAAAAATAACAATTAAAAAAATAGGAAATAAATACCCTGAGAAACATTGTTAAATTACTGATTATCTGTATACTGACTCATCAGTCATTTCCACATGTTCTAAGATCTATTGGTAAAGCTGCCATTTGGTAGAGCACAATCTTTAACAGAAAGAGATGCATAATCTCTATCTTCACTGTCGAATTTAGGAACCTGAGTGAATCAGTGATTTTCTCAATGCTTAATTTAAGATTCTGTCATTTATAAGTCTTGGAGTTTTTTCAGTAGAAATTGTAGGATTCTGAAAGCTGCTCTGAACAACACGAAAGCTTCTTTTTTGATAATCTATACGACTTCCCTGTAGTATCTAACAAGTTTATACAATATGTAAGTAAAACAATAATAAAAAATGAACAGAGTCTTAGAAAGAAAATGGTTGTTTCTTCTAAAAAGGTTGTTTCTTCTAATGCTTATAACCATGTTTATACAAAGCACAGTGTTCAGTAATGAAATTCAGTAATTCCCTTTCGTGAATTATACAGTTTAGTAACTGATACAGCAGATATGAGCTATCATTTACAAGAAGATGCCATCTGCTGAGCAAACACGCAATCAGCAGGCACTTCCTATTACACTGAAATTTTTTTGTTCTTTATTGATTTTTTCCCTTGCATTTCTAAAGCCCCTCAAGCAATCTGAGCCAGAGTAGCAAATGAAGAAAGCAAAGGACTTCTCAATGACCCCAATATCAATTCTGCTTGGTACTTTATGCTGTCTCAAGGCTATGGGCCTCATAGGTTAGTTCAAGCAATAGAGAGAAAATAGTACGTACAGTGCATGTGTGCATATAGTTCAAAGGCAACTGTGTAGAAATGGCAACCTAACCTCTGAGATTAAACATGCTTCAAAAAAGCATTACAACCTTAAACATACTTCAATACAAGCATTAAATTATTCACCTCTATGTCATTTAATTGTTGCTGCATAATACCTCTTTTTTTTTTTCCAACTTGTTGTTCAGTTTGCTTCTGCTCTTTATCTAATCTGATCCACATAGGAGATCTTCTGGAGAATTTATGCATAAATAGATGTGTTAGTATTCAAAAGTTATTGTTCTATATTTATAGGGAAAAAATGTTAGTAAATACTGTAACAGTTACTATTTTTAAGCTTACTTTTGTTTTCCCTTCCATACCCATTTTTCCATCATGTAGGTTTTTATATTCTATCCTTTGAATGAAAAAATGCACTTCTAAAACAGAAATACCTCTGCTACTTCATATAGTCTTTTTCATCTTACAGAAAAAAAAAAAATCACTGCTTACTTTGCTCCCCATTCTTCTTTATTTTCTTTCTGCAAAGAAAGTTAGAAATAAAGTTCTGAAATCAAAATATATATTTGGAACAGCTTCCATGGAATGTGTATAAAGAGTAAGATAATAATTTATTAACTATTGTCACTACCTCATGCAAAATACCGCTAAGGACAGCTAACAAGAGGAGGAAGAAAATAAAATATTGCAATATCTAATTTTTATCTTTTTCATTAATTCACTTTATTATTAATTGGCACCTCAAGGAAAACTATTCCCATCTATTGTATAAATTTCATTTGGATTATTAATATGAGCACCAAATATTAAATAAAAGAAATTATTATTAATACATGTAGTAAGGGAAATTTTACATTAATAGATGTATTTACATAAATAGTATAATACTTATATTATTCAGTGTTTAAATTTATTTTAAAATATATTAAAAAATTAAAATAGGCATTCATATTTCCATTCTGAAACAATAATTTAAACTTGTAATCAATGAGAAAGTTCTTCCTGGAAGTTACCAATATCTTTTGGATATCATTTGCACACAAATCTGCTTGTGCAAACTCTGTTTCCAAGCTTTTAGCACATGGCGTAGACCATGATGTATAACTTATACCACACCTCTCTAGGTTTCCAGGAAACTAATGATGTGATCTTTGTCACATTGTTTCTACTTAGTTTCAGTTGGGGAAGGGCTAACAACATTACTCACTGCCATGAATGCCTTGTTTGGAAAATACTATTAGTTATTAGATGAATCTTATTTTCTTTTAATTTTTCAAATTGACTCATTAAATCTGCATCAAAATAAACTACCCATAATCCATTATTGAACTATTGAACTGTTCAACAACCCCTGTGTCTCCTCCAAAAGTGGGGAAGTATTGCTGCATTCAGACTGTGTTAAGAGACCTTCAAATAGAGTAACACTAAAAACCTTGAAAAGAGAATAACCCATGGCAAGTTATGTACTGACAGTTGGATAACAGAACTACTACAGACTGATTCTGCAACAAAAAAAAAACCTTCTTGATGAGGCAGCAGCAATTCTTGCATCTGGGCTTAGAGAAAAAATCTAAACCGAACAGTTTCAATAGATGTTGATCTTACTTGATTGTGAGAATGTTCTGTAACAAGTATATGGCTTACAGAAAACTCCCTGTCTTAACTAATAGCTAGTTTTCTCCCTGTTGATTTGGAAACAAAAATAAAAGCATTTTGCTTTTTCTTTTCTGGCAATACGGTCCAGTGAAAATGCCCTCCTCTTTCAGACACTTACAGAATAATCAGTTGTTTCACACTGATTACTATATTTTCAATTTTGGTTCCTAAGACGCTTAATTTCTTGGGTGGGGGAGGAAAGGGGGGAAGGACAGGAAGGAGGCTTCAAATATCTTTCCTATCATAAAACAACTTGTTACCATGAACAATGCATGCCTACCTAATACATGCCCTCTGTTCCCTATTACCACTGCTGTAGCACTCCATATAAGCAAAGCTTCCAAAATCTAAAAGATCATTAGATCTAAAAGAGAAAGGTCTAATAATGAAAAGAATATTTCTCAGTCAGACAAGTTCAGTTAGTATTCTGTTGGAGTACATCTGGACAAAAGGTTATTTCTCTGAAATTTTTCCTGCAATTTAACCTCAGGGAGGGTTAATACCACTTGTATAATCTGGAAACATGGGCAATAGGCTATTAGGTCATCACTATACAACTGGAATAAAATGGCTCTTTAGCCATACTTTCAAGATGATAGAGGACAGAACTGAAAAATGCAGGAATGCTGTACCAGAAGTAAAATAAAGGCCTGGAAGAGACAAGTGTACTTAATTAAATCAATGCAAGTAGATTGAGGGACTGTTTTTAATACAAAAATCTTCTGTTTCTTTTTCTTATTATAGAAAATGGACCTCCCATGAGAGGAAGGAAAAACATTATTATCAGTAGCATCCATAAAGCAGGGAAATGAAGAAGGTCCCCAGCATGCCATTACTGGGGGCTTATCCATTAGTTGCTATCTTTAGCTTGTAAGTAAGAATTACAGAGTAAATAAGAAAGTACTAAACAGGCTTACCTTTTGTAAGAAAATAGAACACCACAGTTCAAGCAGACAGAAAGATTTTTCTAATACAGAAAGCAAGAAAGGTCAAAAATAAGGCTGGAATGATGCTGTGTTTTATGTTGTATCACATCACAACTGCACAGCTGCAAAATCCTGCTCTTCTGAGCTGTTGACTTCTGTTTTCTCCTTCTTTTTTTTTCATAATGACAAAAAAAAATGCTAGTGAGTGGTCCAGGCTCTACTACTTTTACTCATGGCTGTCTTTAAATGCATCTTTAGTTCTAGATCTGCTACTTGTCTCTCAAACTCCTTTATGCTCTTGTCATCTCCATAGAATCATAGAATCACAGAATGTTAAGAGGTTGGAAGGGACCTTAAAGATCATCTAGTCACAACCACTCATGCTGTGGGCAGGGACACCTTTCACTAGGTGTTTCCACTCTTTCAGTTTGTACCCAGTACCACTTATCCTCTCACTACAGTTCCAGATGAAGAGTCCCTCTCCAGCTTCCCTGTAAGCCCCATTTAGAAATGGGAGATATAGATAATATAGATATTAGACTCTGCTATTGACCACTTGCACAGTTCAAGGTCACAGAACGGAAGCGAACAAATTTTGTAACAAAAGCAAATGGAGATTGTCAGAAGCAAATAAAAATGGTACAGACTTTTCTCTGTGAAAAAAAAAGGGAATAAAAACCCCAGAAGGACTTCTGTTCATCACAGTAAATCCAACATTTAATTCTAAAGAAAAATAGTCTTTGATAGCTCTCAGAGTAAACCTCTCCTATCTTGGACCATTGCAAAAGGACTCAAAGAGGGTTCTGACTCAAGGACTTACACTAAAATACTGCAATGCCTCCCTCCAGTTTTGGCTGGTTCTTTTGATTCCATATGATTTTGGATCAGAATTCAACATCAGAAAACTCACAGAATGGGAGTATTCATTTGAGAATGAGCAGGGAGGAACAATGGAGCCAAAAAAAAATCCTGTATTTCATAATGGTAATAGTAGAGATATTTTTTGCAGGGGTATCACAGGTCTGCTTTATAAGAATGAAGAGATGATGAATCTCAATGGCACCCACCTACCAACTATGAGAAGGCTCTCAGGATGCATTAACGCTGGTGTGCTAATAATGCACCACAGGAGATCTTTTCCAGTTATTAGGGGGAATTTGGATGACAAGAAAGTAATTAATTGCATTGTTTTGTCTAAGAAAAAGGCAATGCTTTTACCGCATCTACGTGCAACCAGTGTGGCTTGAGGTTTGCACAGCCATTATCATTGAATTCCATCTCCTCACAGAACATGCACAAGAATAGCAACTGAAAATCATCTTGGTACTTGATTGTATTCCGTAGGCAGGCACTACTAACACATTGAGTATAAAGCCAGTTCAGCAGCTGCTGATTTTTCCAGGTGTATTGGGTTTGCATGGTAAGGTTTTGGTAGCAGGAGGGCTGCAGGGTTGGCTTCAGTTCATCCCACATTCCCTATCACCTTGTGTCCCTGCGGGGAAGAAGGTAGAAAAAATCATAAGTTAAGCTCAAGAAGAAGGGAGGGGTGGTGGGAAGGTCTTTTAAAAATCTGGTTTATTTCTTATTACCCTACTCTAATTTGATTGGTAATAAATTCAATTAATTTCCCTGAGTCAAGTCTGTTTTTCCCATGATAGTAAGTGTTGAGTGATCTCTATCTGTCCTTATCTCGACTCACAAGCCTTTGCTTATAGTTTCTCTCCTCTGTCCAGCTGAGAAGGGGAGTGATAAAGTGATTGTGGTGAGCATGTGATGCCCATCCAGGGTGAAATCTACCACACCAGGAAACTTTGAGAGACACATTGACTTTGATTTTCTGGTACCATGAGGAAAGAAGGAGTGGTCTCTGGGAAGTTGCTGCTCAGACAGAAGCCAGAGCTTCATTCTGACAACTCCACATTAAGTCTTATACCTCTTGCTAGTGATACTGAATGCAGAAATTAAGGACTTCTTCCGATAATAGTCCTGGAGCTTTCAATCAGTGTTTTTCTTGAGGCTTTAAGGTCTGCTAATTACTAAAACAATTTTAATATAACAATTACCCATGCCCCTGCAGAAGACAGCTGATGGAATCCATCTGCCAAAGGATGGATAGAGATGGAACACTCCATTTGGTGATGCCAAACTTGGGATTTCAGTCAGAGAAGCTAAAGAAATATCAACACTTATCTGAGGATGGTTGAAAAACGTCACTGAAGTTTGGAAGAAAAGAGGTATATCTGACAATCAAAAAAAAGGATACCAAAGTGGGTTATATGAATTTAGCAGTTCACATCAAAAGAAACTAGATGGCTACCCTATTGTATATATATATGCATCAATATAAGCTATAGTAAGGGTTTCGTTGCAGCTTCTACAGAAACTGAAGAAACATATAAAAATTTCAAATTATAATGTCACTGCATATATGGATTATTACTAAAGACTTTTTATTTTCTAAAACAAATTAAATTATTGTGAATAACTAGATACAAATAAAGTGTTTCATGTTTTCATGAGTATTTAAATTACGGTAAAAGACACAACCCTTCTATGTGAGCTGGTCACAAGCTACTCAAAACTAATTCATGGTAGAAGCAGAAAGAAGGTTGCAAAGAATTTGGAGTTGAACTAAGATTGTTACTGTCATACTTACCAGAGTCACTTTTCAAACTCCTTCTTGATCTTGAACTTCTATTTTAAGATTCCACTCCAAATTCTTATGGGGGAAAAAAAGCCTTGTACAATGCTTAAGAAAACGAGTTAATGGCCAACAGCAATGAAAGTGCTAACCCTCTAACCCTAACATCACACTAAAGAGTAGCATAGCTTTTAAATTTTTTCTCAAACATCATGAAACAATATTAAAAAAAAGAAATTCCAGCAGACTCTCAGGTACAAGAGAGATAAATAAATATAGACCATACTATAAAAAAGTAATAATATTTTCCAGATTTAATTTAGTTTTCTTTTGGTAGTTTAAAATAACCATATACACAAAGAAGCTGAGCTGTCTTACAATCCATACCTGCACTTTGGAAGTGTATATGCCATCAGCACTTGGAGAGGGAGGTTTCTGTATAAGGAGGTCATAAACATCTCCCAGATGCCACATACCTAAGAAAATACAAAAGCGGGTGCCAAATATCCCCCCATATTCTCAAACTCTAAATCCCAAAGATTACTGGGAACTTCAAGGAAATAGAAGTGACAGAGATCAGTGTCCATGAGGAAAACATCTTGTAATCAATGAGTAAAAGCCTTATTTCCAGATGAAAGTTTACCTATCTGTTCCAGAGATAACTCCAGGCAAAGACTCTTGCCCATGGCACTACCCTCCACCTCCCATCTTCTTGCCCGTATATGCATGTATTGGATCTGAATCAAAATCCTGAGTCTGTTGGACGAACTCTGGCATCTGGACTGCTCTCCAAAATGCAGTAACATTTTGAATGAGTAATGATAACATTTGGTAATTGCATGAATATATTTTGACTATTCAGTAGCCCAAGGACACAGTTGAACTGGTGGTTACAGACAGGCACTTTGTTTAAACACACCAAGGGGTAATTGCTCTAACAGAATATCTGCAGAGACCAGGCCATCAACTATAAATTGTACCCTCATTTATATTATCATATTCAAAGTTAACCACTATTCAACTGTTGCTTAGGTAGAGAGGTATCTCAGCCTGTGTGCACTTCAATCACACTTTTACCTTGCAAATAGCTCTTGCAACTGGTCACCTTCCCTGTGTGTGTTTTCATGTCTATATGTATGCTTTAAATACATATATATTATACATATATATTATAATCTACAATGTATCATTAGTTGTATATAATTCATTACATATTATATGTTACATATTATACATTATTATAAACCCTATGTTTTTGCTAATTTATTGTAACTAAGACTATATTATATATAGCAATGTTAACTTTGCTAACTTTTGACAGATTGGTCATTCTGCAAGTGACAGGAATGAAGTGGTGCAACAGAAAGTTGAGTGGTGCTGGCAAGCAATCTTATTACTGAGGGTACAGCCACTAATAATGGCTTCATGCAGGAGTTAAGTTGGTCAACAAGTAAACCACAATACCTAGAGAGCGAAATTCCCTCTCTTTCCAAAAATTTATAACTTTGAGATACATTTCTGACTGACTACATACCTGGGATGATAATACTACTTATGACTTGCTGTATTGTGTTTGAGTGGCCAGGTTTTGGGAAGTGGAGGGTTGCTGGAGCAGCTTCTGTGAGAAGCTGCTAGAAGCTTTGGCAAATCAATATTGACTACTCCTGATGACTTTCTTGTCCTTGTGAAATGTGCCTGGAAAATGCTGTCCAGGATTAGCTGCTCCATCACCTCTCCATGGATTGAGGTGAGGCTGACTCATCTACAGTTCCTGGGGTCCTCTTTCTTGCCTTTCTTGAACATAGGAGTCCTCAGTCCACCAGTTCTCAACCACTTCTTTCAGTCACTCAAGGATTATTGATAGGGGCTTCACTATGACATCAGCAAGTTCCCTCAGCACTCATGGGTGCATCCTATCAAGGCCTGTGGACTTATGCATGTCCAGTTTGCGTATTCTCTGACCTGTTTCTCTTTCAGAAAGGGTATGCATTCCTTGCTCCAGCCTTTCCCTTTGGTCTCTGGGACCTGGGATTTCTGTAGGTTGGCTCTTGCAGTAGAGACTGAAGCAAAGAAGACATTCAGTACTGCAGCCTTTCCCGTGTTCTGTACCATCAGGCTCCCTGCCTCATGCAGCAGTGGGCTCACATTTTCTGTAGTCTTTCTTTTGTGATCTATGCATGAACAGAAGTCCTTCTTGTTGCCAGATTCAATTCCATTTGGGCTTCAACTTTTCTAACTGTGTCATTGTATGCTCAAGACAATGTTTCTGTGTTTCTCTCAGGTTACCTGTCCCTACTTCCATCTTCTATATGCTTCCTTTTTGTATCTGTTTTCCCTAAAGTTCCTTATTCATCCAATCAAACCTCCCAGCATTTTTGCCTGACTTCCTACTCATTGGAAAAGCCTGCTCTTGTGTTTGAAGGAGATGATATTTGAACATTAAATAGCTTTTTCGGGCCCAAATATAGTATAAAAGTAGCAATATTGGATGAGAAGAAAGTGGTAAAAGCAGCCATTTTACTTTAAAGTGTTGAAATTTGTCACAGAGTCTCAGTTCGTGTTTCATATGATGAATGGCCTTGTACAGTACACTTCATACAGTGCAGTGGTACAGATTAGTAATATAGTTGATGAGTTCAAATTACAAGTATTTGCTGTTTGCAGAAATCTTAGGTCACATAAAACCATTTTAGTTTATTCGCTTACAAACAAAACTTTCAGCAGAATTGAACTGTTTAATAGATGCGAACTTAAAACACCACTCAATTACACTATTTGATTATACAGTAAATCCAATCTGAATCAACTACAAAAAACCTGCAGATAAACACTGATATTGCTTTGACTGATAGAATACAATCTCTATAGTCTTAGAACTTAATATTTTTCAATATTAAGTTATAATTATGCTTTCAATATATCAAACAGTTTCTTTGAAGAAGAATGGGATTACTGAATAATAAACTGATACTACAACTGACTATCTACTGAATCAGATGATAAATCTAAACGGTATCGTGAGGACCTTCACAGGATTGTCACATTATTTCTGATACTTAGTCTACATTTATTTAGCTGAATTAGTGACCAAAATATTTCTGTCAAAGATCAACTCCTTTAATACAAGGTGTCATTAGCTTAGTTATAGAAAGGAAGTATAGTTTACCTTTCAAAACCCAGAGATTTCTAACTGGTCAAGGACTAAGCATACATGCACGCGCGCGTGCACACACACACACACATTGCACATTTCACTTTCAGTGCATGTGAAATGCTGGTTCCTAAATACACAGTCTTTCAGTTTAAATAGTCCTTGAAATACCTGTAAGAGAGTGTAAGCCCACGGTAACTTAACTACCCTTCCCAAAATTCAAGTTACAAAAAGGACAAAGGAAGCGAACAAAACATATTGCCTTTATGCATCTTGATGAACTACACCTAACACTTATAGGCACTGCACAGGTTGGGAGCTGAGGGTTTTCCATGCACCAGCCTGGAATTGAACCCAGGTCGCAAGAATGGGAAACTTGCATGATACCACTACACCACTGGTGCTTCCCTACAGTCTGTAAATAATCAAATAAGAAGTCATTCAGTCTCATTTCACTCTGATCTACCCCAATGGATACAAGAACCTCAGTTACCGTGCCTCAGAGGCAGATCAAAACAAGGAGTATGGAGGAAAAAGAATTGTCTACCAGAAATAAATAACCTGAAGAATGTAACACATATCCTAAAATATTCACAAAAGGTCACCGGACAATTAACTATTCACCTTGCCCAGGGAAGTTTTGAAACAGACAACATGGAAAACCCTAAAAATGTCATCTCTTTGTTTCTTAAAATATGTATAAGTAGAGCCAATCTTCTTTTTGGGAAGGCAGTGATTCAATGGCCTCAGTGACTCCTTCCAAAATGTCTCTGGTTATAAAAAGACCTAAATTTCAAAACACCAAAGCCAAGAGAGTATTTCACCTGAATAGTGCAGAGTAAGCAGATGTGCGCTGAAGCTGTAAAGAAATGAAAGGAACCAAACAGTAACTGTTCCATTCTGATTTCCTATACCTTTCACATGCAGCAAAATTGTTTTGATGCACACAAGGCTACCCATGACTCTAGAAGTCAAAACACTTCAAGCAAGGATGCAAGAGGAACATAAATATTCCAAGCAGAAAAGCAAGTGGACTGCAGCTGAAAGGAGTTCTTTGGTGCAATGTGTACACTCTATGTACAGGTGGCAAAAGTTTTATCACAGCTTCTGCAGCTTACTCAGGAACTCTGTCCCCATATGAGAAGCATACTAAGTGTTTGATTTTTCTTTTCCTAAGCTTTCATACATTTAGCACACAGATCTGAGATTTTCTGATCTAACAGTATCACTAAGATATATACAGTCTTCATGGGAAATAGGTTAATATCAGGTCAAATGCACTGGTTTTCCTCAGCTTCTCTCATTCAAGATGTTTAACGTAATATGAAAGAAAGGTAACACAAATAGGGAGAGAATGTTCGTATGGACAACAAATCCCAGAGTATTCCAGTAACTGGAATTTTTTTTTCCCCACCCAAATTTGCATAAACTTTGTATTTTAGATCCTTCTAAAATCAGTCTTGGAATAGTTTTTGAAAAAAATGAATTCATGATCATTTTCCCAAAGGCAACCTTATTTCTGGACGCTTCTATACAGCACTCAACATCAGTGTGTGTGATGATTTCCTCATCAATGCTGTCACCATAATTTGAAGTACACTTCTGAATGTAAAAAGCAGATCCCCTTCAAAAGACTTATAAAACATACTAGGAAAATATGATATCCATTTCTCTCTCACTCTCTCTCATATGAAGAAAAAGCACAGGACAGGAAATGAGACTATTTAAACTGCACATGCCTCTGGAATCTCAGGTGAGCACAAGATGCATTTCTTATATGAACTGCATGTTCTACATGCAAGTATGCAAGGAAAGATACACTGCCAACCTTTCTAGGAGAAATATTAGAAGACAATTCTCTATTTTGCAGCTTTGTAGGAAGTAGACAGTCACTCTTTTTTAGTCATGTTGAAGTAACCTGTCAGGGCTCTGTTAGGATACAGTTAATCAAAACAAGTACTCAAATTCTTAGACTAACATGAGGCAGTGTGTTGACCCCTGTACTATATTTATTATAGTCTTTGGTTAAAACACTTCTTATTCAGTCAAGAACTCCAAAAATATAAAAGGCAACTTTCAAATAAAAAGACCTACAAACCACCCTCTTCATTTGTCTTCTTGGTAACACGTAAGAGGAATAAACACAACTAACTTTTAGGAGGGGTTAGCAATTGCTGTCTCCTTTAATATGTTACATCCTAAGTCAGAGGTCTTGAAAGTAGAATTGAGAGAGCCTGAGGGTCCCATAAAATAGCATTCCAGAAAATCCTTCCAAGAGTTAACTTCAATTATCATAAGAAAGCAATAAATAGAAATCTGGGATTGTATCAGCCTAAGAATTCTGTTTTTCCACTAAAGCAAGATTTAAAAGGTAATACTTCTGAATTGAATTCTATGTTCAGCCTAAACTCATTATTTCCTCAAACTAGACTGAACAGTAGTCTGAAAAGATATTTCCTATTCAAAGGATGGCTTTAGATCATCCTTTGAAGATATAAATAGATTTAGCTCCTAGAATCCTTCATTACCAGGAACTCGTCGTAACCATTCTCTGTGTCTTGAATCTGAACTTTCACATGCATTTCTTGAATTCCTGAACATGTAGAAGGACAATAATTGGGGTATACTCACAACAATACTAATTATGTATGAAATAGATAATGCTCTAAGGATTTCTCCTGTGAATGCTTCCAGTCTTTCTAGGATTCCTGTAAAGTTTTGGTGCACAAGATGCTGTCAAGTAATAACGTTTCTCAGATCTGTTTTCCAAGAACTCCCCTTTCAATCCCAATTCTTCGTGCTTGTCTGTATATTTCCTTACAAATCTGAGTTTCCTCTTTCAGCTTTTCAGTTAATACTTCTAAAATGGGTAAGATCTCTCTCCATTATGACAGGTATGATGAAATAAAAATTTTATCCTTCAAGAAAGATATCAATGAAATTAAAAATAATAAATTTAGAAAGCTCCATCACTAATTTTAAAATGTCCTAATAATCCCTTAAGTAGCTCCATCAACATCAGAACTAATGAAGCCTGGTTTATTATCCATTTGTGTCCCATCATTGATTTACTTTGGTATGTTAAGGTATGAGCTCTGACTTGGATCATTAATAAGAAGTATGGACATAGCTCCTCCTTTCTCTCATCTTTTTATCCCCTCCCTTTTCCAACACTTCTTGTATGGCATTTTTGGGATCTAGTAAGGAATGCTTTCATGCTGACAAGATGTATTTATTCAACTCTGTCATCAATTCCTACAAAACTTGTAAGAACCTAATTGTCGTGGTCCGAAAGGGGGACAGGACACCAGAAAGGGTGCAAGTAGACTTGTTTATTCAGGCATGCACCCGATTCTTAACCGTCCCGCCAGGGAAAAAAGGGGCAGAACACAGGGGGGGCTATCAGACAGACAAACGGGGGAGCAAATCAGAACAGGGTACAGGCAAAAGGGGGAGGAGTGGGGGACAATTGCTGCATGCTTTCCTCCATCCTGAATCGTGTTCCATCACACCTAATTATCTTAAAGAACTTTTCAGATTACTTTGCTGAAACCGGGCAATAAAATCCAAAGTTTCTGGGAGGATAAAGAAGATAACCTGTCAGCTATATAAAACCAGCATATACCTAGTGTCCAAAGACAGAAGAAAATAAAAAATGGGAGGTTTTTTCTGTTATATTACAAATGCACTGAGAATATTATGTACAGTATAATTTAAAGTGTAGCTGTTTGGACTCAATAAAATGAGTTACAAAATATGTATGCATAGTATCTTACAAGAATTCAAAGAAAATAAAGTAAAACAGTATTTCAGAGGTTATATTAATAAATATCATATATGAAAAAAATCATAAAAGCTTTTACCAAAATGTTTTTGGGACTGAGGTTTCTGTTAATAAAAAAAAGAATTTCAGAATCTTCCTCATTGCATGTATTTTGTCTTTTGCATAATTTTAGCTATGTTTTTTTAAAGTAAAGATCAGAAACATTGGATAGTAAATTTCAGTCTGAAGCAATTTGAAATTAATGAAATATAATATTACAGACAGACTTAAAATAAAATTAGGGTTCACTTTTATAGGTATGTTTTCAGTGAAAAAATAAAGCTTGCTTCCGAAATTTATATTGCAGGCATTACCTATTTCTGATTTTTTTCAAAAGCTCTTCAATTTCTCCCTCAAGTTCTTAATGTTTACATTTCAAAACTCTCCAGTGCTTCATTATTATTCAGAATCTTTTGCTTTGTATTCAGTAGATCCCTTTCCTTGGTGGATTTCTAATGAACATTAAAACTTTAAGACACCTTTATCGTAAGTTGAAATTATTTCAGGTCAGCACAGAAGATTCAAGTATGCAAGCATTTTTACCTCTTTTATATAAAAACAATAAAAACTTACTAATTCTTCCACAGTTTTTATAATTTCAGAAATAGCATCCGATATTTTTACACTCTCATCTCCTTGGGCTGCTATTTTATTATCCACACATTCTATCTAGAAAATATTTTGTAATTAAAAGTACACACAGCCTGCTAATTCATACATGAGTTATGTGGTATAAAGAAGTAGAATACCTTAAGTTTCTCTCAGCCCAAAGTTTTCCTTAATATCTCAATATCTCTCTTACTTCATAGAATCCTGCAGAGATTCATAGAATCATAGAATGATTTGGGTTGGAAGGGACCTTAAAGATCATCTAGTTCCAACCACCTCTGCCACAGGAAGGGACACCTTCCACTAGACCAGATTTCTCAGGGCTTCATCGAATCTGGCCTTGAACACTTCCAAGGGTGGAGAATCTACAACTTCTCTGGGTAAATCAAGGATGGATCAATCACTGTAGCTTAAGGAAAAATGAGGGTGGTAGGGAAGGAACCATCTACAAGATGAGAAAACCATCTAAAGTGGCTTTAGATAGATAAAGGCATAGTTGCTTACATTCAGCCTAATGAACTTTTCTTCCCTCACCTCTCTTTCCTCTGCAGAGGTTGAAACAATATTGCTATCCTGGCAAAACTTACCTATGCAAATCACACTCACACAGTGATAAGAGTCTAACTGGAATATGCCCAACAGCAAACATTTTGTTCTGTCTAGCAGTATGAAGGTTGGTAAGGGTCTTAGAGAGCACATGTGGGAGGATCAGTCCAGAATTGGGACACAAGTACTTTAAATGTTATGGAGTTTCCTACTGTTACCTCAAGCATACAATGAAGAACAGATTTACATAGGAATATTTGTAGCTAAGTCCCATCAGCTAAGGAGGGAAACAGTACAGGCTTTGTCTTGTTATCTTGACGAGAATGTCACAGCTTTGTTGGACTCCTCCAGCATTCTGCCAACTGTCCTTTTATGGTTGTACCTTCCCAACTGGCTGGGGATTGAAAGTCCTACCTTAAATGGTTAGGGATTATATAACATGATCTGTGAGAAAAAACTGCAATGAAGCACCTTTACTAGTCTAGAAAAAGGAGATAAAAAAGCAAATTATTAAGGCTCTCAATATGCAAAATACTCTAAGAAATATAGTGCTGCAACCCTGGTAGTGCTCAAACTCTAAGAAATATAGTGCTGCAACCCTGGCAGTGCTCAAACTCTAAGAAATATAGTGCTGCAACCCTGGCAGTGCTCAAGGCCAGGTTGGATGGGGCTTTGAGCAACCTGGACTAGTGAAAGGTGTCCCTGCCCAATACAAGGGGCTGGACCTAGATGATCCTTAAGGTCCCTTCCAACCCAAATCATCCTATGATTCTGATTCAAAATACACTTCAGAGGAAGTGTGAGAAAGACAAGAAGAATCTAGCTACATCTACAGAGGAGAAAATCACAACTGATTAAGTATGAGCAAAATGTCCCAGTTTTTAAATTGCTAGTACATAGGAAAAACATTATTCAGAAATGTTTTTCCCTCTTCCAATGTTTTTAGAGCAAACATTTTGACAGGAATGACTTGAAACACTGTCACACTGTGTAGGTGATTAATGAAGACAAAAGAATAAAGGATTAATAGTTAAGTATGAGATCCATTTTATAAGAAGGGTTTCTTCTAATCTTTGAAAAGCAAAGCCCATGTAGATACAGAAAATAGATTTAATGCATACAGATATCTTTTGTAATGTAAATCTGAGTAACGTGATAAAAAGAAAACTCAGAGTTGTCCTTACAGTGTCAAAAGTTGAAACATTCCTAATAGGTCATATATAAAATTTAAAAAACAGCATGAATTAAAACAAGAAAGAAGAGCAAGGAAAAACAACGCCGAAAAACCTTAGTTCACATCACTCGTTCTATCTTCAAACTTATTGCTGTATGTGACAGTGGTCATGTTATAATTTGGATCCAATTCAAGCCCCATTAAAGTCACTAATAAATAAACCCAATATTTTCCCGATTCCTAAAATAACTCCATTACCTCAGCAACTTTTCTATGATGATCAGAAGACTCACTTTGAGTTTTCTGAATGCCACAATTATTTATAAATATTTACTCAGTTCATTGGTTTAGCTATGTTTTTGAAGAAAATTGACAATGGCAAATCAGCTTTATGCTAAACTTAACTGTGGTTCACCTTTAGCATAAACTAAGGTGGCCACCTGATGGAGTAGTTCCATTATCCCTGTTGTGCATGTCTCTCTTTCTCTTGTGTTGGTCTTAATATCCAGTTAGTACATGTTGAAGTATATCAGGTCATCAAACTCAGCTGGAAACATATGAAAAAAGAAAAATAAAAGGGAAAAAAAAGGTCTACTAGTAAGTATTGGTTCTATTTAAATGTAGTTGTGTTCTGTATATCAGTTGGTAGCAATTGCTGGCATCAGTAACAGGAAGAAAACTGTAATACACAGCTGGAAAAAAATGGCAAAAACATGCCCATTGGTGGCTCTAATATGACTGTATCTTTACTTTTGAAAGGGGATTGCTTTGTTGTTTTTGTTTTTTTTTATTAAGATCTGGGCTTGTTTGGTACATTCAGCTTCTCAGAAATCCTCCATCTGTATTCTGGATTCCACTGGAGCCTTGGCAAGACGTAGCTATCTAGATGCACAAGCCACAATGGTACTGGTCATATAAAAGAGAAAGGCTTTCATATTTAATTTACACTTGTTTACATATACATACAGATAGAAAAAATAGCAGGTTTTGTTGTGGGTATCTAAATCCCGTTCTAGGCATTTTCTATTGGTTCCACATATGGAGCTGTCAATTAACTGAAAATCAGTCAGGCATTGTGAGGAACTCCAGATTTTAGACCGCAAAGTACAAAATTTCAAAGTGAAGTCTAAACAAATATAGCAGAAAACACAGGAATTTTAAGTAAAATAGGGTATCACTATGCATGCTGTAAAAGTGTATCACATGCCATCTGAGGTCAAAAAATCTGATAATTCCCGAGGGCACTTACACTGTCCCACTAAATGCACACTTTCTTCCGGATGATTTTAGAAGATAAGCAATATTAAGCAGATATGCATCCGATGACTAAAAATATCCAAGTCACTTACAGGAATGTAAGATGTTTATGATATTTTTAATAATTAAAGCTGAAAAATAATACTAAAACAAAATAATGAACAAGAGAGTTCTATAGAATCTATTACTTCTTATTTTTAAATCCGTATTTGTATTTTTACTTTTACAGAGGACCTTAACTCTTAAAGATAGAAAATATTCAGGCATTCATGTACTTTTCAATAAAAGATACTCATTTACTTGCTTGTTTATAAATATTCAAGACTCACTTTGCTGTTCCAACATTTTGCATCTTCCTGGATTTCTGCTTTTTGCTTCACTAATTCCTCAAGGTGTTTTTCATCCTTTATAATCTTCGCCTCTGTTTCTTTTAACTTCATACAGTATTTGGTCCAAATAAATTCAGAATGCTTTAACTCATTCCTAATAGAAATACACACAAAGTGAATCCATCTATTTGGAAATATTCCAAGGTAGTCCCTTTCCATAAAGGAAAATGTAAATCAGATCTGAATTAGTAAAGATTTATTTTGATTCTCTATTACGTTTCTTGAACAGGTAAGCATGAGAGAATTTCAAAATATCTACCCTGGCAGGTTCATGCAATTTCAGCCAGATATCAAAATTACTCATGCTACCAGTTCACTTGCACTTAAACAGCCTGCCAACATTGGATCTCTGTGCAGGTATTGGTGTCGCTAAACACAAGGCTTTGTTTCATATCTCATATGTTTATGAAACAAACTAAGAGTCACCACTCTGCTAGTGGCTGTATCTACTTCAGAACCATCTTCACTTAATCAACCTACTTCACTGTAATTTTGTGGACAAATGTAATTTGTGAAGTAAATTTTTTACTGACGTCAATTTTTCGTGTTAAAAGGAACTTGTAGGCAACGTCAAAGGAGGGGACAAGGACTTTCACTCTAAATAGCAGATTTAACAGCATTGTAAGAAGGAAAACTTGCCATAATTATAGAACAAGATAATAATAACTTCAGGAAAGCACTCCCACGTGACACATTTAGGCCTTATTATAGGCATAACAAAAGAGGGCTTTTGTTATGTCTGTGTGTGGGAATTGATTTGACAAAAGGTAAAATAAATAGAGGGATATCAAGTTAAAATTTTTAAATGGCTGCTGGTGTTTGTACCTTATTTTTATTATTGTTTCAGCAGGCAGAAAAAACCTTCCCTGCATGCTCCCTAGAGAACTATTCTGGTCAATAACATATGCAAAAGTGTACCTTAAATGGCAAAATAAATCCACCACAGCAGAACTAAGACCAACAGTAGTTGAGTTTTACAGACATCTATTGCATTAAAACTCAAAAAATCCTGAAGTGTTGCATACTTAGATGCAGTTCAGAAAACAGAAAACAAAAATAAAGATCCTTCATCACTAATTCAAGAGCCATTTCTACAAGATTATTTTATAGACCTTCTTCCTTGACTTGCTTCCAAGGTTTCATCTAGTGAAGTAAAGACTTACCTTGTGAAGTGTCAGAGAACATATTTTTAGCAACTTTCTGAGTTGTATTTTTCTCATGAAAAATTACAGCACTATCAGCCACAATGTGTATGTGTAAAAGCAACAGCCTGTGCCATATGATGTACAACAGCCTCAGTATTTTCAGTTTTGTGCAATCTTCATCATTTTCTCAGTGATGGCACTGAACATAAAGAAAAGAGTATGAAGTGCAGAACAGTCTTTCAAGTCTGTGCCGCCACAAATCTGTCTTTCTCACACTTATCAATACCACATGTTATTCTAGTCCTCCTCAGATGGCAGCTGAAAGGTCTACTTTCTCTGTAATGCAAGCATGACTTTAACTACCAGTCTAGCAAATAGCTGGAAAAAAAATTAGCAGACATAATAAGAAAAAAAAAATAAATTTTTTCACCGAGGTATAAAAAGAACAGTTTTCTACTTTTTGCCCAAAATGCTGATATTCCTAAAAACATCCTTATCATTAGCACTTTTAGTTAAATTCACAGTCACACAAAATAGGTTGCAAGGTGCAGTCTACGTCAGTCTCATGGGGTATGAATAGGAAACCACATAACTAGGTGAAACAGAAAATATACATGGTATATTTCTGTCAGTATAGATTATTAATTTCTTGTATTATTTACCTATTGCTATTATCATGAGTATTTTACTTACATTATGACTTCTTTCAAAAGAACAAAAGAACAAAGAAATTTTAATGCACCTCAGAACAAAGGCTTGTTACAGAAAAATACCACACTTTCTTTCTTGCACATGAAACAATCTCTAGAGCCTTGATTTGCACCAAGACTACCAAAACAAAACAGAAAAACTGCCCACATTGCCCTATAACTGCTAAGCAAGCTGACAGCTGTGACACAGTGACAGAATTCTACAGGGAACTGAAAAAATTTTGCACAAAAAACTTTTAAAAAGTGAAGTAGTCAGAAGGCAAGATGAAAAATACTAATATCAATAAAAATGCAGAAGAAAGATTAAATGATCAATTTTCATTGAAAGAATAGGTCAACAGCATGGCATCTCAAAGTCCCATATCTGTGCTTTGATATGTTTACTAATTACGTGAAAGAGCAACAAGTAGTTAAACTAAAATTCTGCATATAATGTGATTACAATAGGCAAGGCCAAACCAAATTAAAAAACTTAAGAAAAATTTCAATGCAAATTAAGTAAATGGGTAACAAAAGAGTACATATCATTTAGTGTCCAAACTCAAAAAGAAGTAGAAGATCAGGGAAATTAAGTACATTTTAAAGTTCCAAATTAAGAAATGGGATGTAAACATTAGAAAAAAAATGAGAGTAATATGTTCCTCTTTAAGTCAGTGACATGGCTTAATTTGGAATACTGTTTGCATTACCTTTCAACCCATTTCAGAGAATTATATCACCGTAATGAAAAGGAATCAGAGGACATCATGAAAAGGCCATAAAATACAGAAGTCTTCTGAAAGCACATTGAAAATAATGAAAGTTGCTTTAGGAAAAAAAAAAGGAAGAATGAACAAAGTCCTAAGTAGAGGAGAATATAGCCTAGTGAAGGAGGTTAACAATACACAGCAATATTTATCATTGCATACATCTTAAGACTTAGACTCCCAAACTACAGCAATTTGCTTATAAAAGGACAAAAATACATAGCTGTTGATCACACTCTATAAATGTGAATTGATAAAGAAAACATTTAATCATAGGTATAGGATGGAATGGTTAAAAAAAAGGAAAAAAAATTGAAAAGAAAGTATACTTTTAAGAATTTTTATTATGGTATTACATGATAAAATCACCTCCAGCAATGGTCACTATAACCATTGCTAACAACTTTCACCAGCAGCTTCTAATTCAGATGAGTTGATATAACATTGAATATGCCAGTGAAACACTGAACTGACTTGTAGAGTATCTGAATACATAGTAATAAATCACACAACATTTTTGGTAATACTTCTTACTCAGTACCTGATCTTTTCCATAATTAAAATCAACATGAGGTTTGTAATGAACTTAACAAGTTACAGAAGCAAGGTCCATGCTGTCTGATTTCTCTCAGCTGGAATCCATGGAGGAGATAATGAGTATTTGATCAGATCATCTCTATATACATATTTAAGCTATAATTAAAATTCTAAACATTGTGGAGATATTGTGAAGCTTGCATTCACAGGCTCATATACATAAAAAATGTGCTATTTCACACACCTTTTGTTTAGACATACGTAGTGACATTAATTGGAGAATTATTTTCAGAAGTCACTCCAGCTTTGACAAGTGTTATGACAAAATTCTAGTATCAGGGGTTGTATAATAAAATAATTCCAATTTAGCTATATATCTGACTACAATTTTAATTTTTCATATACAAATATTCTTTCCTGAATGAAAATTAGGCTCTGAAAATAAGAGCTTAAGCTTTAGTAACTAAAAATATACGTATTGACTGCGAATTTACCTTGGAGGTAAAAAATATAATTAGCATAATTATCATAAAGCTTATGTAAAGCTTAGAATCAAAAAAAAAAAAAAAAAAGGAAAAATTCAGACATGGTGATGAAAGAAACAAGTCAGAGAGATACACTTAGTTCTCCAGTATTGCTAAGCTATCCCTCTTACATCATTTGAGTAAATGCATGTTACCCAGGATGCCTCCTGCTCACATATTAAAGTATGAACATATTACAGAAAGAGGTATGATCCTTCTTCAGTTCTGCTGTTCAGTACCAATGACAAAGAGATCCACAGTGATGTGACATCTTAAAGAAACAGGATTATTGCTTTTAAACAACCTTCCTTTGTTCAGGAATGTGTCAGTATTATTTCTGCTCTAGCTGACTGTCAAGCACAGATCTCCCTGGATAGCAGACATCAAAAAGGCCAGTCATATTAGCCAAAGTAATGATTTCCTGATGTTGATAGTTGCCACAAAATACGTTGTAAGAGTGCTCTGTTTTGGAAAAGTCAGTGTTACTTCGTGCTTCAAGGCTTATTAATTGTCAAGGTTCTGAGGCAGGCAGCAAGTACCCTTTCTGTGGGACTGAAAGAGGTGTTTCAAGTTCCTGAACACTAATCAGTTTTTGAAATAAAGTTGCCAATATGTTATAATCTAAAGAAACTGGAAATTATACAACCAACCCCCCCATTATAATGAGCTGCAGCATTTTACTACGGGATATTGAGCATCATAAACGGTAAGCAAAACAATCAAATTTAGTAATTACAGTTATTTCTTGAAGAAAGAACTTAAAAGAAAATTTAAAACCAAGAGAAAATATCTCCACCCACTATGACCTCTTCTTTATGCCCCTCTGAGAGTGGGTCCATTCATGGAGGGGGCCAAGATACTCCCTAATTCTACTGTATGCCTTGTTTTATTCTACCATATATTACTAATGCAGTAGACATACGGCTTAAATAGTATAACAATTCTTCCTATTTGGTACATCAAATAAAACGGCAACTCACAGTACCCTAAGCTCTCTCATCTACTCAGTGTTTTGAAGATTTGGTTTTGGCCTTCATGGTAGACAAGCTTACAAAAGACTGAATGCAGGAATTACAACGGGCTGTGTATAAGTATACTGGTTATGGCTGTGATGCAATTAATTTTCTTCATAGTAGCTTGTATGATGCTATGTTTTGTGTTTGTGCTGGAAACAGTGCTGATAACTCAGGAATGTTAGCAGCATTTACACAGATCAAAGGATTTTTCTGCACCTGAACCCACCAGCAAGCAGGCTGGATGGCACAAGGAGTTAGGAGGAGACAGAGCTTGGACAGCCCCTCAACTGACCAAAGGAATATTCCATAGCATATGCTCAGATGTGATGGAGCTTGGCTTTCGTGGAGATGACAGAACACCTGCCTGCCCATGGGCAGTGGTGAACAAATTCCTTGTTTTGCTTTGCTTGTCTGTGTGGCTTTTGTGTTTTTTCTATTAAACTGCATTTATTTCAACCCATGAGTTTTTTCATTTTTACCCTTCTGCTTCTCCACACCATCCTGGCTCAGAGGAAGTGAGCAAGTGGCTGTGTGGGGCTCAGCTGCCTAGTGGAGTTAAACCACAACAATAAATTATTCATGCTGCTTACTTTCTGTCTTTTTAGAAAGTCTGGCAAGCATGCTGCTGGCCTGTACGCAATGAAAATGACCACATTTATTTCTGACAGTAACAACTTCTAGAGTTCAGTGTTTTCTTGGCAAAGATGGGTTGATGTGTGGTATAAGATTTTCAGATACATGCAGACGAGAATCATCTTTGGCAAACAGGCATCCAGTGAGCAGAAGTGAATAACAGCTTTTACAGGTATTCCACCTGTGCTGGTGGTAAGAGTAGCTCTTGTAGTTCACAGTCACATTTGGAAGCATAAAGAGTGTCACAGTGTTCTAGAATCACCCAATTGTCTAGCAGACACAGATGGCCCATCTCTTTGAGGAATATAATGCTGCTGCCAAGAACTTTATGAAATTCCACTGTTTATCCAATAAACAAAATTCTCCTCTACAAATGATCAGGGAGTATATTGTGCTCACAGTACTTCATGTGAGCTGAGTGGATCAGTGTATGGAAACAGACATCCTGCATCAAGAGAATTCCAGTGTCTTCATTTTGAAGAGACATGGCACTAACCTGAGAAGATAAATGGATCTTCAGATAACAGATACTTTTCTAAAGTCCTCATTTCTTAAAAAAATAAGGCATTCAGTAACAAGAAACTTTTCTTCAGCTCTGTAATTGCTCTTTTACAGTTCTTAGGTAAACTAATGAGAATAACTCTGTAGCGAATTTCAACAAAAATGATCCTTTAGAAGAAAGAGGGAATAGGAGTTACATGGGACAGTCCCTTGAAATGAATGAGAAACTAACATTTACCGAAATGAGGTTACAAAGGACACAAGTTTGCACGTACAACTCAACCATTAGCATTAGTCTTACTTCCTTGAATGAAGCATCAGTGAGCAGCACAGGTTTTTAGCTGCTACTGTACATGAGGTACTTTATAACATTAACTCTCTGGAATGTCAGAACACGGCATGCTGACCCAACTCAGGTAGTGCATAGCACAACTTGAATTATGGTACTGGTATATAAATTCCTAGTGAACTCCAGTAGTTCTGAATGAATAAGATGGACCAAACTTCATGACTTATATGAAATTTATATACTCCATAATTACCATGCAGAGTTTTGGAAAAACCTACTACACCCACTCAGATTTATTTTGAAAACGTACTGATGTCTTTCAGTTATGCCTGTAAGCCTTCCTCACCTCAACTGAAAAAGAGCCACTGTGTCACTTGCTACTTTGCCAAATAAAACCTGGCATTGAGCCATCGGCACGTGGAGTAAAGTCGAGTGCAACCTCCTACCAAATATCAAAGTACTTGGTATTCTTGTTCTTTGGCATAGTTATTCTTGGTGCTGACTCTTTGCATATTCAGCTATAGAAAGGAGAGAATACTTGTCGATGACTGTTTATTAGCAGTGTGCTATTGTTACTATTGCTCCACTTGATAATCCAAGAGTCAATTCTTTTCATTGCCTTTTGTATTTCCATAAGTTCCCAATGAACATCACCGCATATTTTTGATGCCTAAGAAAATAAAACAAGTTTTCTGAAAGATGTTATATAAAAATCATACATAATGTTTAACAGAAAATATAATTTCAAGATTTGACTGATTCTTGGCAGTTTAAAAAATGATGTTTAAAAATGAAATTCCAGGAAAAACAACAGAATGTGTTGCAAAATTTCATAATATAATGAAATGTTAGCAAGAAGATTTTCATTCTGTTACAAAACTTTGGAGTTCTTTTGAAAAGGTGGCTACTTTCATGGGAAGATAGTGACCTCTGGAGCAGAAAGAAAGAAATAATGTGCAAAGAAGCCACTGAGGTTTCAGTCAGCAATCTGACAAAATCATAACTGAAACATGTAACAGAGGCTGTGCAAGCCTGGCAGTCACCTTTGTAAAGAAGGAGCCTGAGACAATGCTGACAACGACTGCAATTTTCAATGTTTTTAATTGTATTGGGACACTCAGTTTGTAACAACTCTCAAATAGAGATATGCACGTCTGTTGTCTCTGCTTTGTAAAATATTACAAATACAAATAGATAAAATAAAATCTTTATTATAATCTAGCACATCACTGCTTAAAATAGTTCTTTGCATATTAAAAAAGAGACTGAATATTAAATAATTATTTTAATTGCAAAGAAAACTAAGTATCAGCTGCTTTTTTAAGGCTGTGGGAGGAAAACCCAAATCTGAGTAACTAACTACATAAATTGTAGCACAATAAAAGCCACAGATAATTTACTTGACAATTAGAAATTCTGTTGAAAGTAAATATATAAATAAGATAAACACAAATATATAAATAGTCATAAATAAATACATATAAATACAGTAACACCAAGTCTATCTTCTTATGATATGAAGAAAAAACTGCTCTGAAAAAAAAAGTATTTATTCAAAAGAGTCTTTAGAAAAAATATTTTAAGTCTACTTACGGAGTTGTATTTTAGTACATCTCAATATTTGAACTGCATATAACATATTTTAAGGCATTAACAAGAAAAAAGGATATAAAATTAAAAAAGTTATCAACTTGATTTTTAATTAGTATTTCAAACATATCTCATAGCATTGATAGAACTGTGAGCTGTTTCATAGATTAGAACTAATTCTTGATAATTCTCATACTGTTTGTGTAATAGGCAATTAACTTTTTCATTTTAGAAGTGTTTTGACATGACTGTAGAGTTATCCAAATATGAATTGAAAATAACACAAATTAAAAGAGACAATATTATGAATCACCTACAAAAAAAGAGACCATTTTAAACTGTAAATATCTTGGAAAAGATATAACACTCTAAAGTTGTTATATAGAAAATATATAGAAAACATAATAACTATCACTAGCATTTGAACTTGAAGAAAAACATCCCTCCAGTTTCAGAAATCAGTTTTAAGTTACACGGAAATTTGTTTCACTTTGATTACTTAGACTGGCATAATCCACATTAGCATTTATTATCAAAAATAATATATTATTGTCAATATTACAATCATTAAATACCATAAACAAATAAATTAGGAAAAACGTTCATTAGTACCTAAGAATAATTGAGTCTTGTAAACTTTTTTTGACATCTCCATATTCTGAAACACAGATGTCTGTGAGAAATGTGAGCAGAATATATGCAAATATCAGATATGTGCCTTCTATCTTTCCCATGAAAAATCCCCCATGAAGTCAACTTATAAAGTTAGAATTACAGTCAATGTATGCTTAAGAGACATTTATTAAAGGCCAAGAACATTATGCTCCCCGGATTCTGTCTGCACTGAGTGCCTGTATGTAGTGGTATGGGCACACAGTCCACAGTCTTTGCATATTAAATTTACAACAGACTTTGATACTTCCAACAGACCGCTGTTTTCTGAAAGGTTATGCACCTATGCAGTGGAAAGGTTCTAAAAGAAACATGCTCATATGGCTTGTATTTACCTTTTCATACACCAGTAACATATCCTTCACAGTTTCGCCCTCTAGATTCAGCTTTTCTTCCAGCAGAGGGCTGTGTTTCTTCATGGAGTCTATATCCTCCCGAATCTCTCAGTTGGCTGTTTCTTAAGTATTTGGTTTTGTACCTGTGGCAGCTGACAGCTTTTACTATGAAAATGCCATCGTAGCTCCAAGATATCTTGAACACACGTTTCATATTCCATTAAAAAGGTAATTAGCACAAAAACTGTGAGTTTCTGAATGACAACATAAATACCCAGTGAGATTAGGAAATATGTTATCATAATGCTAAAACTGTGGACTACTCTGAAGGCCAAAAAAGGACATTGGTTACAAAAGATCACCAAATACTGCATTAGGATTAGAACTGTTTTATAAACTCATACTTAATTATCCTAGTATGTAAATCAAGCAAATGTTCAAAGCCAGGGGTGGTTTTGGTTTAAGAAGGAAATGAAAACATCTAGCCTTAAGGCATATCTAGAGGAGGCTATTATGACACAAGAACAGCTTTACCAAGCTTCCTAGCCTCCAGCTATGTTGATGTATGACATATGTTGATGCACAGGAAGCACAGGGCAAGTATAGATCCCACAACCTTTTAATAAGAAAACTGTTTTCAGTTCAGGAACACTTCATGAACTAAACGTGGTTTCAAAAAAGCTAAACTAAGGATACAAACTCAAAGCTAACAAACAAAACATATTCACGTTGCCACACAGAAGTATGTCAGTCTTAATTCAGTTTGCTGCATTTAATTTTCTGACTTTAGTATAAATTTCCAGTGGGTCTTTACAAGAAAATATGTGACTAGACTACTCGTTGCTGAAAAACAACATATATTTTATCTTGCTTAGAAATAAAAAAGCTTATTAGAGATGGTGTTATGCAGCAGCTGATGGAAAACTTATTGGTATAAAACTAAGGAAAGTAAAGTAAAATTATCAGATGAAAAAAAAGTCAGATAACATCTCAAGAGAAGTAAACTTGGCCTTAATTTTGAGAGAGAAAAGCATATTTTACTAACGTAAAAAATACTTTACTTCTGAAAGTAGCTGTAGAATATTCAGTGAAGTCTCTCAACAATTGATAAATTTTGCTATGTTAACAAGACATAAATCACAAATTTGCAAAATTGTAATTTTCTACTAAAAGTTAGAAAGACATTGCATGAACAAGTGGCTTGTCTGTATTGTACAAAATGATGTTGAACATAAAGATGAATAAAATGTGGTTTACACTGAACATTGATCTACTTCAGAGAAGGTAATTTCTGAAGATAGGTTACATCACTGTAATTACCTGAGCATGCTATAGGACACAGATACAGCAGGAGTTAGTAACAATGGAAATCAAGGTAAGTCTGAAGAAATAACAGGATTCAGTGTCTACTCTGAATAGGTCACGCAAACTCTTAATTAATCTCCTGGGTTTGTAATACTTAGATTAGGGATAATTATAACACCCCTGAGGGTCTTTTCTCTTTATCCTCAGATCCATGTTAGCATATTTTTTGTCTTATGAATAATACTATGAAATGTTATAATCCTGAAAATTACAAATTTACTCCAAGGACATGACACCATACTGACGTAGCCCACTGATAAATCAAGGGAGAAAAAAACTGGTCAATTTTCACAGCCAAATATCATGCTGCTTTATTTTGCCTTAAAAAAATTATAAATAATACTGTATCATTGCTTATATTAACAGAACTGAAAATGTGCTAATTATATTCTACTATTCTAAACTTTTGATATTTATTGAAAATGCTAAACAGTAAAGAAACAGAAATGCATAGCAACACAGAAAGATTATTTACAACTGCATTCGCTGTAGGTAGGAACACCAAAAGCAAAAAGTAACACCTCTGCAGCAAAAATCCTGAGCTACTGTGCTGAAGAATGAAGATTATATTATCAACCTTCTCTTACTGCATTTCTTTACTCCTGTAAAACTGACCTTTCAGTTGCCACAGGATTTGCTCCTGAAAGCATTTTCTATCCTGTCAATGATTTTTAGTTCTGATTCTTTATCCAATGTCCTCCTCTCTTTTTAAGGCATCTTAAATTGTCCTTATAAGGCAATTGCTTTTAAGAAAAGCAATCTCTGCAAACTGGTAGCACCTTAACACAGGTTTCTAATTTCCAAGTCAAGAGTTAGCCATTGGCTAAAACAAACAAACAAACAAATATTTTTTCATATATAGTTAAGGATGAGCACTATCTGACATTTCACCTTCATGGACAGGGGGAGGAAGCATTTGGGACTGTCTTGCCTTCATTATACACTGATCTACACTTAATGTTTACCCATCAGTAAACACAGCTACAGAGACTCTTGCACTGTCACCACACTCTGGACTGTGAGATATTTCTCAAAAACCTCAGGGTGATATGCATCAGAATATGCACTAGAGTACAATCATGATTTTATATTTGGGAACTTACTGCGATAAATTACACTGCTTTTCTACAAGTCTAAGTTGAGAGAGCACCTGCTTTTGCCCATGAGCCAGAATACAAACAGCAAAGAACACAAAGAGCAAACTGCTAAGTAGCTCCTTTCCCCCTCCCCACCCCTTTTTTTTCTTTAATTATATTGTATGGATGCCTGTTCATCACAAAAGGTAGTAGTAAACATCCCCAAAATCTGGGATTTCAAGGATACCTATCAATGGTTATGTCCATTTCTATTAAATAAATGAGTACTTTGTTCAAATTTATCATGGCTTAATTTTTCTCAAAAGAAATTATTTATTTATTTCTGGTTTAATCTGTAATGTAATTCAAATGTACTTTTTTAGAATTATGTTTTGGCTTCTCATTTCTTGCCCCAAACACAGTATTTATTATTATCTTAAGTGTCTTCCTTACACTTATGTTATTTCTCAGACGTCTCTTTTTTTTTCCAGATATTTATTCAAGTATACCAAATTCAGAAGAGTAAATATTGTACTCCTATTACAGTAAACACAACTGTAGTCATATCATAATTTTTACTCTTGGTAATGAATTGACTGAAAAATAACAAATATTCTTAGTTTCAATACTAATACCTTTTTGCACATCTGCGAGGAGTTGCTGAAGCCTCCAAAGTGACATACAATCAATTTTCATGCCGAGTTTTTTCCTTCACTATTTCATCAACTCCAAAGCTTTTTCTCCCTCCTCAAGATCAGCCTCCAGCTGCTTAATTAGCTCAGTAACTTCCAACAGCAAAGTTTCTGTTTCCTGCTTCCAAGTTAACGTCTTTGCCATCTTTAAAAATACATTAAAAATATTTTTAATGAAAGCTTAATCATATGCTCTTTAGTCAAACTACATTCTCAACACCAAGTTGGCCTGTTCATAGCAAGCACAACCAGCTAAATTTCTGTCCTCAAAAATACATTATAATTGTTCCTTATGAAGGCTTACACACACACTCTTAATTCCAGCTTCTTTCTCAGAATAAAGCTAGCCTCTTCACCTCTATCGAGGCAAGCACAACTGGTTACAAACATAACTTTCAGTTATGTTACCTTTCAGTAGCATTTTCCTCCAGCTTATTTCCAGTGCAAAATGCAACAAAAATGTATTAATATACATGGCACAAAATTTTCATCTTTGCCTCTTTGCTTGGGTAAGTAATCATCCAAACAACAATACAAGTTCTTAATTGCCTCAATTTTTTCAAGAATACTTACTTAATTTTAATTACGCCACTAAAGTCTTTGGAGGCCTAAGAATATTCAGTATAATATTTCAACAGCACTGTTTTGCTTGTGATAAATAAAATCATCATTCCATTCTGTGAAATATGGCCATCAAAAAAGCCTAGGGTTTTTTTGGTTTTGGGTGGGTTTTTTTGTTTGTTGGTTTGATTTTTTGTTTTGTTTTGTTTTGTTTTGTTGGGGGTTTTTTGATAAAAGATTCTTTCAAGTCATCGTCCATTGTCCTGATCTATAAAACATGGGAGTTATATCAGCTAGAGTCCAAGACATTTCTGTTTTGATTCCACAGTTAATAATTCCCTAAATTATTTTGATTAAAAACTGCAAGCATTGAAAATAGGAAAACCATTTAAAATCTGGAGTGAAATTTTGGCCTCACTACTGTCAAGAAAAATTTTATCACACAATTTACTGCAGATGGGATTGCCTCAGGCTAGCAGTACTTAAAAGGTTGCACACTGGTTTAAAAAAAATGCACATAATCTCTTTAATATTTAAAACATAATTTAAAAATGTATATTCTGACTAAAGACACAAACTGTATAAAACAGAATTCTATGCTGGGGTTATGCTACAAATACCCCATAACAGTAATGCAGTTCTTTGTTTTAAAAAATAATTCTAGAATTTTCAACAACCAACATAACTAGTTTAGCTGGTACAAATCCCAGATGGGTTAAAATACAGTATGGATCTAAATACAGAAATGTAAATTATCTTCTTGCAAATAGGAAGACTTAATAATACTTAATATATCATTTAAAATGTATGTGTCTTTCAGCTTGACAGATGATGCACACAGATTTCAAAGGATACTCACATCATTTACATAAGACATGGAGCAGGGAACAAGCTACCACTATTACAAATGCAAAGCACATATTAAAAGAGGATAAGTAACTTTCATCATACAGCTGAGTATTATGAAATATTTTTACCTTCATAAGTTACATCAGCTTCTTTAAAATCCAACTTAGTGGATAATGATGACCAGATATCTTCAACAGAGTCAGCACTGAACTGTTTTGTTATCCTATGGGTAAAAGCCACTGTCACAAAAAAATTTAGACTGAATTTAAATTAGCTTTGTTAAATAAACATTACTTGCACTAAGTCAAAATTTCCTTTCTTAAATCTTAGACATTTAGGTGCTGGTTAATTAAACGGAATAATTACAAGTCTTACGGAAGAATTATTAATATCACAATTGTCATATAGATGCATTTCATATTTCTTTACAGAAATACAAGAAACAGATTTCTTTACATCTTGTACTTACACAGATCTTCAGTTTTTGTCCTCATACCAAGAATTTGCCAAAGAGAAACTGTTGTGGAAAAGCTGTTATTCTTTCCAAGTTCTAAACATGCAGGAGCAATATGTGCTGTACTTTTCAGACTCTTATAAGCAGCAGAAGTATCTAGTGCTCTATCTGTGCAGAAACGGATACCTTGCACAGCACATCAGATATAGTTTTAACAGTTTAAGGGAAGTCATCAGTTTAGGGTCAACAATAAAGAAAGAAGATTTTTTTAGATATATGAAAAAAATACAATCAAGGCATAAGGCTTAAACAGGATTCGAACAGATAAGCATTTGAAATCCGAGAGACCCAAAAGCAGAGGAGAGGAGGGCTTTGTTGAAATGAGATCAGGATAAAATTAATCTGCAAGTGAGAAGGGGAAAGAAGTAACACAAGAAATCAAAGAAGAACACAAGCAAATCATAGCTCTCATGAAAACTTAAGGGGATCATTAGCCTATTGGAGCTGAAAACAAGGGAAGGAAAGATAACTACCACCCTCTTACGTCCACATGTGCAGCTTAAAGGGCACATGCAGGTCCTTCATATGCAGCTAAGATGAAATGGAACCTACAGTCACGGTGTTACATCACACATACAAGCATAACTTGAACATACCTATATTTGAAAGAACTCTACTTGGAGGAACTCCACAAAATAGTCCATCTACCATGAACAAACAACAATCAACAAGTCTATGCCAAAACTAGACCAAGAGAAATACTATTGAAGTCAACACAAAATACATCAAATGTACAGGGAATAGGAAAAAAAGAAAATCTGAGCAGTAATGGAAAATAGGAAGACATTGGACAGGAAAACTGGGACCTGAAGAGATATCAAATTAGATACAGGAGTAGGAGTTTGATAAACAGGAATTGGATAAGTAGGCAAACACAGAATAAATCAATAGGTGTATCTTACATGAAGTAAAAGTATGCAGGGAAATACAGCATTTGTTGAGCAAAACAGTCAGGACAACAAGCTCAGTGCACGAGATATAAAGATTAAAACAGGAGTTTGAAGAGGAGAATCTAACTAGAACTATGTCATAAAGTACCCTGCATCAAGAAAAATTAAAATCACAGACTCAAACTTATTTTGTATGCTTTCTGAGAACCCGGCTTTTAAATATACTTGCATTGTATTGTATTGTATTGTATTGTATCCTAGGCTTAGGAAAAAAATATGTAAACTTTAGAAAAAACCTGCATGAGTTTTTAGTTTTAAAATTACATTTTAAATTTGCATTTTAAAATTAATTTTAATTTTATAACATTTATAAACTCTGTATATATTCTAGATACCTGCAGTATCTAGAAAAAAAAGCCCAAATCTTCAACTTGCTGTTTTTCATTTAGAATCTATGTTCTATTTTGATTTTAACAAGCATCCTCTCTCGCTCTCTAACTTTAAAGATACATAGTTATAAACACTGGAGTATTATTCAAGGTAATTTCGTCACTCAAATGCAAAAAAGTTTTTTGAACTAACCATAAATAGCTAGCAAACTACCCTGAAAACACAAAAATCATGCATTTAATAATGGTATGAAGTATAGGAAAATCAGGAAAGAAAAAGATTTTAAAATCTTGGGGTTTTTTCCCCATCTTATTACAGCATGTGATGAAGAAATGGTCATTTCATTCAAACTTTTTTTCTATTCCCTTTCTTAATTACTTGTCTCCTTTTGTTTTGCCAAGCTGAAATGAGGGTAAATTGATGTCACCATCCAAAGGCCCTAGACTATTTTGAGTCTTTGTATATTTAGTAACAAGAACTTAGAAAAGATGTGGAAAATATGCATGAGACTTACAGAAACAAGCTAACATTAAAATTAATAAACACCTGGACATGTCAATGCTTATCCAATTCATTTACATGGATGACAAAAATATGACATTGAAATAATTTCACTGTTTTCAGATTATAGTAAATAAAGGTGAATGAGGAAATATAAATTTTCAAATCAAATTAATGTCTATACTGTAAATTAAGATGTGACTGTAGTTCATGTACCTTGGATTCTTCTAACATCTCTGTTGCAGCTGCAGAAATTTCCCTGCAGAGTATTTAACAGCATTTGTGGAATACTAATCTAAGACAGCTTTCCTGATGTGCTGCTATGATGACATTACTGCCAGTACTGCAGATAAATTATTTAAATATAACTTGTCTGTGCGGGCAGCTATCAGATCTTCTTGCTGCAGTGTAGACATATGCAAAATTTATTAACATTTGGAAAACACTTTTCCAGTAAAAGTGAATTATTTAAATTATACTAATCATGTTCTCAGAGGAGCTAATGGGAAGCTTCTACAATGATATATATAGGGTTGTTTCTTCACCTACCTACCCACCCATTTTTTTAACTTGCCTTTATTCTTGCTTCTATTAACTTGTGGGAATCTGTATAGACTAAGAAAACATCATGTACTGCTAGAGAAAGAACCACAACATTTTCATGTCTTTCCATATTAAAGAAACTTTTCAATCAAGGAGTTGTTATGTACTGCTCATGAAAAAACATTTCTTGCTGTAAATGACAGAAAATGGCACACAGCTCCATTTGACTATCTACTCAAGATTAGTAACCAAAACTATTTTGCAGATGATATCACTGAGTCAGTTTGACTTTGAATCATCATACATGAATATATTAATCTTTATGATGCATGGATATTACATTATGATATTGTGCTATATTAATTGTAATAAGATAGTTCCATTTTCCAATACTTTTAAGTACATTAAAATCATCTCATGACCAGTAAATTAAATTCCGGGGCACTATTTTGGGGAGTACATAAGACATGAAGCTAAAAATTTTATAAAAATCAACATAGTAACCATAATTAACCATATACGTTCCTATGAAGAGAAAAAGGACTTGGCCGTTTTCAACCATAAATGTACCTGCTGAAAGCATTTTTCCTCCTTTAATTCTAACTCTTGAATTTGATGCATAATTTTGTTAATACAGGCTGATGGAGTATTTACAAAAGCACAGCTATGTTACCTTGTGGTGATCCACTTGTTCTTGTCTGGAGAAAGAAAGAGAACACAGAAGGTTCCTAAACATGCAGGCTGATATCAGATTTTCTTATACCTGGTTTTCTTCCTTTAATTTGCAAATTTGTTAGCTTTGGTCTTGAAATTGTCTACCAGAGAATGTAACAGCTACATCCATTACTATGCACACAATTTGCTCAAAAACTTATCCTTTTTTAATACAATCTCAAACACAAGTAAGAAGATGAAAAAATGCTTGGGGAATATGAAGGAATATTTTCAAAGACATGAGATACGATAAAGAAAGCTCGGGTCAAAATACAATTTACTACAACTAATTTTACATAATTAGTCCCAAATGAATCCATTTTTATGATTTTACATTAGTCCTCAGCAAGGATGCTGTTCTAACAAAAAAAATATCACAACCCAAAAAGGCAAAGGTGACAGCTACTATAGAAACACCCAGAGTAAAATCGAAAAGGTCACAAGGCCTTAGAGATAAGCTTAGACTACTCTTATGTACACAATACTTAGTTCCAGCAAATGTTTGCTTCAACCTTATGAAGGGGTGAAGTTCAGGAACAGTAATTCCCATGATGGGAATTTAAAGATACATGACATAAATGAACTGTTTTACGAGAACATGCGGATTTCACAATTATGTTTTCTTTAAACTCTGTTAGCCTTATAACTACATAAATAAATGATTCTGTGTCACACTATTGAATGTTAACACTATTGAATTAATACACAGAACAGGAATCTGATTGCAGAGGTGTCAGGAATGAGAACAAGATACTGAAACATAGCAGCAGAGCTATTAAAAAATCTAAGAAGTTGTCCTACAATCATGAAATGTTAACCTAATTAAGTTTGGGGGGATACAATGCTTCAATGTGCCTTGGAGATGAACCAAAAATAACAATAATAGGGATTAAACAGCAAAAGAGAACCAGATAACCTTTGGGGGTTTGTTTTTGTTTGTTTGGGTTTTTTTAAAGAGTAATCTCCGTGTTTTAACTGAAGTGTCAGCTTAAAACATTAAAAGTTTTTATGTTACATAAGGCTCTTTTAACTTAACTTTATCATAAACAGCCTTACTGGAATAGAACAGGTGGTTTGCAATATTTTGTTTAAAAAGACAGCCCACTAAACTGGATAACAAAACCTACTTCATGGAATCTTGCTCTGCCTGTTTAGAGAGCCAGAAACCTTCAAAGGATGCCTCCACAGCACAATCCTAACAAAGCTTTTATAGACTTCATATCTTTCTTATACTCTGAAGCCCAACACAGAAGTTCAGATTTTAAGACCAAAATTAATTTCATTTAGTTGCTTCTACTGTTATGTAATTGTTCTGTTTAGATCACTAATGAAACTAACAATACAGCCATTTAAAAAAGAATGAAAGTTTTTGAGAGCCTTTAATTAAAAAACATTATTCTTTTACTGCTTTGGTCTTCCTTGGTAAATGCAAGAATTTTACATGCAAGTCTTCTAATCCTTTTATAAAAGCGAGCTAGAAATATGAAGTGGAATACATCAGTGATATGTAACAGAGGTATTTTTAAAGGTTAGCAAATCCATTTTCACTTGTCCTTCTAAGGGAAAAGCAGTAACTAAACAATTGATGTCACTGCAAATCACAGACTGGATCCAATTTAACTAATGAAATTACAGTTAAAAAGCAAATAAAAATAAAAACAGTGCAATGTCAACCTATGTGACCTGGCTTTTTAAATTATACATGCTATTTAGCATCCTATGATGACAGTTGTAACCAACAGTGACGGGAAAAACATGAAAACAAAATGGATAACATATGAGATGAATTTTAATTAAGAAACTGTTGGTGGAAGGGAGACTCACAAACTTGTAGTCTGAAACACTGTCATCTCACTGGACAGGAGACATGTAAGAGTGGAAAAAAATCCACTTATTTCCATGTAAACATATAACTGAGATTTACTACAATAAAAACTCCCAAGATTATTTATTTGTAATTTGCATAATTCAGAAAATAACACGGGATGAAGGCTAGGTAGTTAAGTCTCAGGACCACAAACTGAGGTAATTTACCAGAATACTCTATCACCCTTCCAGGTGGACCACTTCTGGATGGTGCAATTGGCATATTAGAGGTCCCCAGTAAATTGTGGTTTCCAACTGTTATCAACCTACAAAAACTAAGTAGTAAAAAAGAACCCACTCCCCCCATACCTATATTATGGTCTTCATCAACATAAAATACTGAAAACAAGATTTTAGCATTCCATATTTTTGCAAGTAGTACTATGAAAAAATAGATATATATATATTCCAAACTTTCTGAAACGGAAAATAGTTGCTTACTACATATGAAAGGATGAAATCCAGAAGAAAAGTTTAAGAAACAGTTTCAATTTGTTGTTGCTTGTATAGCCAGTAATATATTCAGATCAAGGTATGAACAGACTATTATCTGATATGCTAGCATGCGTTAAGAAAAAGGTGACAACATCACTTGTCTGTGAAGCAATCAGTTACATAACACAATAATGCATTCCCCTGCACATAATAACCCACTTAAAAAAATAGTGGACAAATATACAGTTGATGACAAAAGAATTATTTCAATTTGAGGAATGAAAAAAAGTTAGTCAGCACATAGTTCGTTTAGTGTCTGTTGACAATCTTATCCTCAATGCATACAAATTTTCACAGAATCACAGAATATGCTGAGTTGGAAGGGGCCAAAAGGAGCAATGCTCTTAGCCCTGCACAGGACAACCCCAAGAGTCACACCATGTGCCTGAGAGCTGAGAGCATATTGTACTATTTATGATCACAGCTGTAGCCATAAAAATAAAAATAAATTTAAAAATTATATTGTCTTACACAGAAAAAATAAGATAGCACTCACAGTTCTGTAATATATACCTCTGACCATGTTATTCTGTGCTGACTGCTTTACAGAATTCAAACTAACCAACATTCTGACAAAAATAACCAGTACATTAGTCATATTACTACAGTATAATTCCTAAAAGTCATTCAGTGTAACTCCATAAAGAAGAAGAAAAAAAATTATTGTGAATCTTTCATCAGAGATGCATGTTTATATATTTATCAAAATATATGTACCTTACATATTATTAAATATGAATATAACTAAAGCAAACACATACAACATTTTAATTACCCTCTTGATACTTTACTATAAAAGAAATAATTTGTCAGCTGCTAAAAATAGATTTCTAATACCAACATCTCAAACAGAAGGATGAGAAACTAACATAATTTTTGTTAAAAAAAAAAATCCTTGATAAAATTTTTCAATAAAAGAAACCAGAATTCAGATATTAGTACTTCTATCCACCTAACATAAGCTAATGCTACTATTTCTCGTCATAAATGCCAATTCTCAGGCAGAGACTTGGGATATTCCTAAATATGCTTCATAAAAAGCTTATTCTGTAAGAACCTTTTTCACATCAACTCCCATACTTACCTCTTCACCAAAGGTTTAATCCCCCATGAAGTAAACTAAGTGCAAATTGAGATTATCTACCTCATAAGAACAATAGATATGGCCAAATATTTGTTTAAAATGTTCTCATCAATCTCTGCTCCACTGTGACTATGGCATTTGTGTCGGAATTTTTCCTCCTTCCACAAAATGCAGTCAGCCTAAACAAAAATTATAACCTAGTCATAGTTAAAAGAAGCTAACATCCCAAGAACAATCTTCACTTTATCATTTCCTGACCTCCAAATGTTCCCTTTCTGAAAATACAGTATTTTATCATGTGATTTTAGGCTCCTAGAATTTCTTGTGCAATTTCTACCTGTCCTCAAGTGATGCAGTGAATCATTTTAAACACTGAAATGCAGCCCAGGTTTACTTCAGAATACACAGAAAGGGATTGATATCCCTGAAATTATTCCCCCAAACTACATTTCGTGCAGATATTCCAATATAGTACTTGGTGTTGTTTAAATAGCAATTTTAAGGATTAAGAATCAGTTATAGTGATAGTCTGGCCTCCCACTTGAAAACAAGGCTTCATGTAGAATTTTACAGGGTTTAATATAAGCCACCAACTCTAACAGAACTATAAGAATTGCTACTAAAATCAGCAAAAGACAAGAAGTCCTTAGGTTCTTTGTTGTGTTTTATTCCTATTGCAGGGACAAGATCCCAAGAACTAGTTCCTTATACCAGCCACTTTAATCTTTAAGAAGGCAATGAAGATCCAATAATGTACTAATGATATTCAAAACTAAAAATATTATAGTTGAGCTCTCACTGCTATCATCTAAATGCTTCAAATAGGTCCGTATCAAAATCAATTTGATTTTTTTTCAATTTTCCACTATTCTTGTGGTTCTTTCCAGCTAGACAGTCTGCACCTCAGTAAACTTAATCCCTATTCTTTTTCCATACACCTTAGTGCAACTCTGAACTCCAAACAAACCAACCAACCCACATACAATTACACAGGATAAAAGTCAAGGACACAGGAAATTTTTAATACATAAGGCAATTAAATCCAGGTATTCTGTTCCATAGTCATGAATGATTCACTTTGTCTTTCCCTCTACATATTCTTGAGTTCCACCTTTCTGACATGAATCAGAAAAGATGAATTATACTTCTAACAAGTTGTATTGAGAAAATAAATACCTTAAGACTAAGAGCACATTCTGTGACATGGGTTCATAAAACACATAATTATCTCTGACTAAAGATGCTACTTAATTTTCTGTTTCAGTGTCCCTCCTCACACATTCCAAGGCCAGAAACCAGACAACAGGAGAACTACTGTTCTCTTCCTCACTCCTGAGGGGCCAAAGAGACCTCACAGTAGTAGGAGCAATCTCCCTGATCACGCAGAAAAATCTAATCTAATTGTCAGATATTAGCATCCAAGCTGCTATTACCACAAGAATCATCCAAATATATTTTAAAGATTATTAGCACCAATGTTCATGCTACTAAGCATGTTAGTTATTTGATCTGTCCCCTTACACGTAATTAAAACATCATGTAGTATAGCACAATATTTTTGAAAAGGTTATTAAATCTTAAATCTAACATCTTCTATTCTGTTGTATATGTCTAAATGAAATACAGTGAATTTTTGTTACCATAGTAACCACAGAACTGAAGAAATTTAGTTTTGGCATAATTGCTGCATATGTTCATACAAATCACATCTCTTATTCTGAGCATTAGAAACGAAGACAGTTCTTAGCTCCATTTTTTAAAAATAGAGTAATGAAGAAACAAAAAACGAGCTCAAGTATTTATAGACATAACACAACATATTCTTGTTTAATTCATTCATTCACTTTTCTTTTATAATTACAGTATATTTTCTTGCATTCTATTAAACCATTAGTTAAGTACTGTTTAAGTTATCTTTTTACATTGATAATTAAGCCAGTTCTGTTGTTGTCATTAAATTCAAATTATTATTTTAGAATAATAAATATATTATTAGTCAAACATCCAGAAACAGCTAAAGAAACTTCAGCAAAAATAAACACAGCCAACAGCCTGGGACACATTTTGGTTTTATCACTTGCAATGAGGTTCACATTGAATAAAGACAAATTTATTTATGTCTTTAGTTTCAAGAAAGAGTGGAAAAGAAAAAAGCACTCTAGGTATGTTGAAACTCAGTCTTACAACAGCACAATTTTCTCAGCAGCATTACAAAATATGTATTCAGCAGGAACAAACTAACCGAATTCAACCAGCCCATGAATTATCTACAAATTCCTCTCCACTTCCTTATCAGATCCCAGAATGAATCTTAAACATCTCAAAAAAATCCCAAATCCAAAACAAACCCACAACCCCATGGGATAGAACAACAGTAGGACAATGGGATTCCTATGCTTTTACTTCAACACTAGAATTCTTTCATCCTTTCCCTTCTCTAGCTCTGTTTGCCCAATAATTTAGTACTGATTGTATTGTTTCAGAGTTACCTTATACTTATCAAGTATATTATCATCAGTACGTTTCATTTTAATATTCAGAAATACAAACAGGCATTCAGAAAGAGTTTGGTAATACAGAACACATAAGCAGACAAGTACATCATAGTTAAAATCAACACAGATCATCTCTGCTTGAAAGCTTTAAGTCTTGGAAACTTAAGTTCTTTCTTAAGCTGTGATACGCTGAACAAAAACCCACAATCATCCAATACACTGCAACAAAGAAATGCAAAGGAGAAGTCCAAGAATTTGTTTAGCAAACAGCATCATACTTCTAACTTGAAGTACCCACAATATAGTTTTCAGTTTACCTTATCTGCTCAGACTGTCCTGGCATGAATGGATCATCAAAGTGTTAATGAACCTGTGGAACTGAGCCACACAAATTTTGAAGTATATAACAGGTTCTCAAAAAAATTATAATAAAACAAGAAAAATGGACTAATGGAATTTCATAGTAATCACTATTTTTAAAGAGATGGCCTCACTGATGTTGCAAATAACAGAGAAACAACACTAAAAACACTTTATAGCATTCCCATGATCATTAGAATCAGTGAAGTCTGTTTTTCCACTGGTATATGTGCAACATTCCCTCACAGAAGTCCAGTTCCCTTCCGTGTCACTGAGTCTGACCAATCTGTCTTCCTTTGATATTCTCTTCTGGGCATGTTGCATGGAACTGTTTTGGAGCTTGGCTGGCTATCCAAGACATGTTTCAGTCAGTCAGCTGACTGTTACCCTACAGAATATGTAAATGGCTAATTTATAACTTCTTTCTTTCAGATAAGGAAATAATTTTGGTCTGCCAATTTTCATGAAACTTGGAAGAACTTAACATCTTTGAGGCTCCCAGCCATCTGTCAAATCTGGAATAGACAAAAGCTACTGGAGTACAGGCACTGGCAGACCATATACATTGACAGCATATACTTTGTTTTCTTTAATACACAAAAACCCCCAACTCTCTACTTGGAGGGTCCCTACAGTGACTGCCTTCATTTACTTCACAATCTTTCTATCAAACTGTGCTTTGTAGGGTTCTTAAACTTCACTATTTTATAAGTAAAACATATACAGATGAAAAAGAAAAAGATGAGATCTTGTACATACATACTAAAGAACAATACAGAAAAAAAGATA